CTGTTCCAAAGTAGACCAGTTTTCATAGATGTTTTAATTTATATCTATTGTAAATTATATAAGAAGGCAGCATACAAATAGTTGTAATAAATAAAATAATATCTTTACCAAATATAATTTTCAGGCAGAAGAGCAACAGCTGGACATTTTTCATTCTGTAGTGAAACACATACTTTGTTAACTGCAGAACAGAACTGCAGAATGGTTAGCATATTGTGTCAATTATGAAGCACCAGATGAAATCCCCTTGATAAATTGGCAGGAGATACACAAATATCCATAATCTTGAGAATTCCCCAGAAGGTGGGAACCCTGTCCTTTAACAGGAGTTATTGACCTATAATTTCCAGCATTACATATCGAGGCTGTGATCTTCTGTTCCAGAATAATGGGGCTACAAATTCCCAATCCTACTCTGTGTACTTTTCTAAGTGAAAGACCCCTGTTAACAGATGTAGAATTTCTTTAATTCACAGATTTTTTGCATTTCTCTCTCTGTTTCTTTAACTTTAATATGAAGACAAGGAACTAATACAATGGTATTTAAAAAAGAAGAGAAAATTACACTCTCAGCATTCTTAAACCAGACTGCTCCCAAACCCAGGAGAACTATAATAAAAAAACACTCCCAAAGTGCTGCTAAGAATGACATAAGCAGACCACATAAACTCTTGGCAGAGATGAACTATGACCAAGATGAAGGACAATTTGAATGTGTTAACTCTAATTTCATCCATTTTCTTTTTATAAAACTAAATGTCACATCCTGTCTTTATCAATAATATGTTCATAAAGAAGTATTTCCCCAAAAACATTTGGCCAATCACTTGGATCTACTGTTAATTTTTATTTACCTGGTTGATAGATAAAAATACTGTTGGAAATTGCATCATCTAATGAGCTTTTGGACTATAGGGCAAGTGACAAGAGATAGATAAGGGGAAGGGTTTTTATATAATGTCTCCCTGTCTGTCTCTCATTTTACTTTTTATAAAAGCAAGTCAATGGGTAACTTCCTTTCTCTAAAATGTATTTTAACAGGTTTTCCTATCCTATGCATTTCTGAATTCATCTACTATTTACTTCAAGGATAAGAAAATGTTTGCTGGCATTCATTGATGGCTGGCTTAAAAAGCTGGCCCTCTGTATTTAACAGAACTATATTAAGAACATTTTTCTTTTTGAATGGGACCTTAAATTACTCAATATTTTCTGAGCACTCCACTTGTGCTCAGAAACATAGCACATAACAAGGGCTCCTCCTGAATTCAGTTATCTGCCAAATAAATATATTCTGGCCTGTACTGAGCAAATCAAGTAGTTATTGAATGTCTTGCTCTAGGTCAGGGGTCCCCAACCCCAGTCTGTGGACTGGCACCAGGCTGCAGCATACCAGAAACTGGGCTGCGCAAACAAGCAAAGCCCCATCCGCAGGATGCAGGTAGTACATGAAACCATGCCCCCTCCAGTCCGCAGAAAACTGCTCTCCACGGAACCAGTCCCTGGTGCTCTAGGTGACTTAAGAACTTAAAAGTATTGTTTTTAATTATAAATATTCTACTTGTTATATGTGTACATGTATATTATAAACTGGTTTAAGGGTTCTGAATCTGAAGAATCACAAGTAGCATAAAGCAAATACTACTATTACAAAAAACATTTTCTCTCTTTAAATGTATTGCAACTACATGCTTGTGCAAGGTCCAAAGAATCCTTTCGCTATGCAACAAAGAAAAGTACAGGGCAATTCTCTGGCATTTCTCTGCTCCTCTTGATAAACATTCACCTTTTTAAAAAGCACTTGCAGAAGAATTTAAATTTTTCAGTGCAACAATTCACCTAAATAGTTGAACAGCTGAACGCAAAATTTAATTAAGAATATCAAGACTTTACATATTTTTCAAGCAGATGGGAAAAGAACAATGAACGCAACTGTCAAGTGCTATCATTTCATTCCTTTGCCATTTGTCTTTAAAATATTTCTATGAATAATCAAATTGAGAGTCTAAATATAGAGATAGATCTTAATTTAAGACCATTTGTTTAGTGATCGCTCAAAGTTACAATGGCACTGAAAAATGTAACTTACCACCAATCCTTAACTTCTGACTGTTGCATCATCACTGCAATCATGTGATAATGATTTCAGGTGCTTGGCAACTGTTGCACATTTATGAGAATAACAGTGTCCCTCAGTCACATGATTACTATTTGCAACCTTCACAGCTGGTTTCCAACAAGCAAAGTCAAGGGGGAAACCACTGTCTTATTTAATAACTGCATCTTAACAATGATTTTTTTTGGTCCTTATTATGGGCATAAGGTAAGACTCTTTCATATTTGAAATTTAGCATATGAGATACTTTCTATAAACTCAACATTTGGGATCCACTCCAGTAAGTCAAATTACAAAGGTATTTAATGGAAGAATTTAATGCAATTATTTAAATGAACTTTTTTTCTAAATAAGTAGGCATGGGATTCCAGACTCATTTGCACATTTATCTGGCAATGAATTCCATTAAACATACTGGATTAATTCCAATTAAAATAGTAATAAACAAAAGACAGCTCATTGTTAAAAAATTATAGTGTTTCTAATATTTTTCCCTTTATTTTATTGACAGAAAATCTCATTACTAGGTCAATTTGGCACTTATATGAATGACAAGCTACAGCAATATACTTTTTGGTTATTTTTGCCAATACTTATTACCAAGAATGTAAAGATATATGTTCAAGACATGGTATCATTTTTATTGGAAAATCCTATGCTGAGCACAAAACCAAACAGCAATGCAGCTAAAGACTATGCTAATCCTATCAGAATAATCTATTTTTAAAGAGTATAAAGAAAATAAATTTCCAACCCTGTTGGTGGACTGAATTTTTGAAGATTAATTTTTCTACAGGTAGTCTTCTCTTAAAGACCACAATTGGATGATAAGTTGTCACAACCATTGTGAGTCACCACATGACCTGACCCAATTTTATGACACTTTTGACATTTGTTCTAAAATGGATCATTATGTTTGTTAATCAAACATGATTGTTAAGCAAATCCAGCATATCCAATGGGCATTTTTTTACTGTTTTATTCTGGAAAACAGCAAAAAATGTTGCAAATCATAGACACATGACCATGACATGCTGCAACAAATCATAAAGATGATCTGTAGCATTTGAAATAGGATAACCAGAGGGGGGGGAAATGTGTGGAAATGCAGCAGTTGTAACTTTGAGGACAAGCAGTAACTTTGAGTCTGTCATAAACTAAATGTTAAGCTAACTGAATAGACAGCTCTAGAACATAACACACAGAACAAAATTTCTCCATTGCAGGTCACTCTCTCTCTACCTTGAGATACTATTCCTTATGCCTACATAAATAAGAAAATAATTTTCATCTGATCTGGTACCTTGATTAAATGATATAATAGGCTTACTGTAAGCAATGTTGGAGTCACTTGTTCCACTGCAACTTTCCAATTATTGTTTGTGAAGGCAACTGTGAGCGCATCCCACTGTTGTCCATAACAATGAACAAAAGAAAATTTCAAATGTCTGAGGACTGAAGTGATGTTGAAACTACAAATGATCTCTCTCTCTCTCCAATCTGTGCTTTATTCATCTAGTGATTAATCTGAAGATAGCATGCTGTTCCAGCTTCATTTCTATGGATCATGTGGAAAGACACACAACAAACTTTGAGGATTCTGCCAACTGAATTTTAGCAATTGTGTTAAGTAAAGAATTTCAACAAGTACACCTTATTTCACTTTTGCATCAAGTCTGCAGTGGGGAGGTACAGCTGTATTGTACTGTCATCTGACCTAAAATGCTAATTTAATATTTAACCACAGGAGTCTCTGGGGTACTAATATTCCTATTCCTGGGAACAGGATCAATCAGAGGGCAATAATTAACTATAATTGGGAATGAAATCTCATTTCTTTTGAGTTTTGGGGAGTCATAATTTGTATGAACTGTTCCAAACACGTGAATTCTATTTAATATATAATCCAGATGAAAAGCCAGCCTCCTACAATATTTAGCATACTTTCATAAACAGGAGACTACTGCACTGCATTCCAATTTAGAGCCACCTTTTCGTAATTCACGATATGAGTCTTAAGCAGAACTGTCACCCCAAAATCTACAGAGCTTTCATCATCCACCCAGCCCACCCCAAAGACCAAATCTAGAGCTCCCTTCAACTGAATTAGCCACACAGCTGCATCAAACGGTCCACACCATGTTTACGATTCCCACCCCATACGTGCGCCTGGCCTTGGAACAGGGCGGCCTCCGCGAATATTTTCTCACCCTGATACGGAATGGTTTTGCAAGGCAACCCAGAATCCTGTTTCGAGCTAAGAAGGTCAGACTGAAAGCCAAAGAAACTTCCGCGCATCTCCTTCCTTAAACGCTTCCCTTCTACCAAGACGGCGAAAGAAGCCGCTAAAGGGCGGGAGAAAACCGGGATTTCAATTTTGCCCTTGGCAACGCCCGTCGCACTTCCCTGCACGCAGCAGCGATAGAGGAGCCGCCCAACCAAAGAAACACATTCACACATACATATACCGCGCACCTGTCGGGCTGACTCCTTGACTTTCACCCGCCCCGGAGAAAGCAGCGGCGGCGGCGGCGGGTTGTTGGCGTTGCTGCTTCTCAGGACCACAATGGAGCCACAAGGTACTCTCGGAACGGTCGCCTCCCCTGTCCGGCTCCCTGCGGCCAGTTCCTTTAGTCCGCGGCTGCTCCCCTCCAGGGGAACCGGCGCCTCGTAAGGTGGGGAGGGAGGGAGAAAGGGAGGGGGCGGAACAGCGTTTCGCAGCCCGACGCGCGCCTCTCCGCCGACGCTCAGCGCCGCCCACTCCCCTCAACCGCTGCTCGGCCCGAACTGAAGAGGCGGAGGAGAGAAAGGCGGGATGCTGTAGCTCAACACCGTTGTCTCTGCCAGGCCCGGGTGTCTGAGGGGCGGGGGGGGGGGTTATCGGGTGATGAAACTTGCCTTTCGGACCAGTAGCGTGGCTGGTTCTCTATTGCGAGTGTTTCTCTCACGGCTTGGGGCTCAGCCGCTGGTCCTTTTTCTGGATAGTGGCTAAGAGGATTGCGTTGTATAAGCCTGCCCAGGACTGAACTGAATGAGTTGATGGGACGCCCTCCCTTCGAAGCCGACGCAGCTATATGTTCGCGCATCCCCCCCCCCCCACGTCCTTACGTTGCCTACGTGGCCGGATTTCTCCATTTGCAGGCTCGCCTTTGTTTGTTTAACGGCGGGGGTGGGCGGGGGAAGTTATTCAAGATCTGCCCTACAAAATTTAAGCTCTTCTGCCAGGCCTGATCCATCAACGTTCCAGATTGAGGACCAGAACTGAAATACAGATGAGAAAATAAGGCTGGCGTGCTATTTCCCCACAGGTCTCTTTGAACGTTGTGGTTACTAAGACCTAATTGCTAAATGATTAGATGTGTATGACTGGCCTGGTTAGTAGGCCATGTCGTTTTAAGATTGCACAGGAAAAATTATCAGTGATCTATTTTTATCGATACGAGTTTGTTTTATTGAATGAAAATATATCTGTAAGGGCTTTAAAGTTGAGCTATAAAAAGTGCAGCAGAGGAAATGTTCTACTTAACCGCTCGCTGTTGACTTCATGGAAATGACCATGAAGTTTTATGGGTAGAAATATTGACATAGCTAGCTGCTGTCTTCTTCCAGGATGTTTCTTTAGAGTGCCAAGTCTAGACAACCTCCTGGTGGACTCCCATCTGCTTATTGGTCATGCAGATTGCATAGATTTCAAACTCAGACAATGCTAGCCAGGTGCTTTGACTGTTACTTTACCATCTACACTACAGCATGGCTGAATCAGACCAAGGCTCTATGTAGTTTAGATGTAAGCCACCAAGGGCTAGCTGGATGTTTTAGATCCGTGGTGGCGAACCTATGGCACGCATGCCACAGATGGCACGCAGAGCCCTCTCTGTGGGCACAAGCGCCGTCGCCCCAGTCCTAGGCCTTCAGCTGGGTTTTATAAAACTTTTTCACTTTAGGCCTCCGCCGTGGTGTGCAACATAAAAAAAGGGTTCAATCAATCAATTTCAACTTTTTGCGGGTAAAAAAAAAGATCTTGCAAAGTTGGAATTGATTGATTGAACTTTTTAGTCCCACCCAGTCTGCCATTACCACGGCAGCCATGCCCACCCAATGGGCCACACCCACCCAATAGGCATGCCCACCCGGCACCCGACAATACATAAGTGGGTTTTGGGTTGCAGTTTGGACACTTGGTCTCTAAAAGGTTCGCCATCACTGTTTTAGATTGTAACTTTGATAGTCCTTAACCAGTATAGCCAATACTTTGGAACTGTAGAAGCTGTATTCTGAAACAGCGGATGTTGGATTGCTTTCTTTCTTTCATAATGTGTTTGAGTATAGCACACTCTCCATTACATATTAGATATTATACAGTGGAGCATCTTCCATGGGACTTGATTTAGTTCAGTAAATTGACTGGAATCACATTAAGCTTGTGTGTGAGCAAAATACTGACCTGTTAATGTGTGATTAGAGATATCTGTTGAGGCCTGCCAGGCTCCCTGCCTCACCTTTGCATTGGTAAAATATATAGAATTTATAAATCTCTGGATGTATCTATACAGTTAATATAAGCAGAAAGGAGGCAAGATAGCCCTATTCAGGTAGTTCTTGATTTACAACAACAATGGAGCCCAAAATTTCTGTTGCTGAGCAAGGCAGTTGTTAAGTGAGTTTTGCCCCATTTTGTGACTTTTTTTACCACAGTTAAGTGAATCACTGCAGTTTTTAAGTGAATCATGCAATTGCTTGTCTAGAGCTGGCTGGGAAGTTTACAAATGGTGATCACATGATCCTGGGACAGTACAACTATCATAAATACCATTTGCCAAACACCCAAATCTTGATCACAGGACCACCAAGATGGTGGGACAACAGGTAGCGTTTTGTTATCTAATACAGGTAGTCCTCAACTTACAACAGTTCATTTAGTGACTGTTCAAAATTACAACACTGAAAAAAGTGACTGTTAGGAATAAAATTTTAGAATAAAAAGTAAAGTTAAGTGACACGTACTCTGTAAAATTTCTACACGTAAGATTTCTACACAAAATTTCTACATGTAGACTGCAAGATTTCTACACAATTTCTACATGTACACGTACCTTGTAAGAGTTCCGCACGTAGGCTTTAGGATTTCCACATTGAACTGTAGGATTTCATGATAAAGTACATATAAGGGAATAGGTGAAGCAAAATAGTAAGGGGCAGGGATAATGTATTTTGTTTAGACGGCTCTGATAAGATTGTAACCTCAGAGGAGGGGCCAAGGTGTCGGGATAGAATGTATATGTGTGTTTTCGCTGTGACTAGGTGTGGCTCAAATATTTATTTGGAGTCCACCACGCTTTGCAAACCGTTGTAGCCAATAAATCTCTGTCTAATTTCAACTTGCTTTTTGGTGTTATTCAGTGGGCTAGAATTTCTACCAACAGTTTTGGCGCCCAACATGGGGCTCGAGACCAGGATCATTTGTCTGCACCAGATCCAGAAGGTGACGTGGAAGGCATGCCCTGTCGATTTCGACAGTCTATCTCATCTTGTTGGTAAAGGAGCAGCAACGCTTTCCTCGGCGAACCCATAGAGTTGATATTAGACAGAGATACGAATTGAACCGGTGTGTGTGTTGCTGGCTTCTGGGAACTGGGCAACTCCGTGCACGGACCTAGGTAAGTGTTCTGAGATGGCCAGTATACACTGCCTAGGCAGTCGGTGGGAAGACTGGGTAGGCCTGTGTGAATTTGAGACAGTGTGTGTGTGAGACGTCCCAAGTATCCGCTTAGCGAAAGTGGACCTCTGATATGCGAGTGCATATCTAGGAGGATCAGGGGGAAGTGAATTAAGGAATTTACGTGAAGTCTCAATTGGAATACACAGGACGGTAAACCAGTATGGGCAACACAGGGAGTACTCCAGGAAAGAAATGTTTGAGAAAAATAAGGAGGAACCCCAAATTAAATATAGATAAAGAAAGTCCATTAGGGATTTTGTTGAGTAATTGGGGAAAACCTCCGTATAATGAAATAATTAGTAAACTAGCCATAACCAAGGAAGATATGGTTAATTTGTGTTGTTTTGTCTGGTGGGAAGATGAAAAAGTAAGAGTGCCTAGATTAGGAACAAATGACTATTTTGCTTGTCAGAATTTATATGAATATGTGTGAAGGAAAACATGCAAATCATTAGTCAATGAATTAGACTATGCTTTAATTTGGAACCCAGGTAAATGGGTCACCTTGACTATGAGTGGCCCTAGCCCTCATAAAATAACCTCAATATATTTACAAGAAGAAGAGAAGAATGAAATAAAGGAAGAAGATGATGAAAAATCCATTAAATATTTACCCCCACCTTATAATCCTAATCTACCACAACCAACAAATGTACAAATACCTATTCCACCACCCCTACCAGCTCCTGTAACACAAGCCCAGGGAGCTGTGAGAGGTGGACCCTATAAGGTATTAGTAAAAGAATTGGAACAATTGAAGAAAGATATAAAGAATTTTCCCTTTAAGGATAAACCACTACAGGCTTTTGCTTTAAGAGAAGTACCCAATGGAGTAGATGGTCAAGGACAGGCCCCTATCAGTTTTGTACATGAGCCTTTAAAGGTATCTGAATTATGCGCCTTTAAGAAAGAAATGAAAAGCACGATAGAAGATCCAGTAGGGGTAGCAGAGCAACTAGATCTGTTGTTAGGAGCAAACATATACACATGGGATGAATTAGGAGTGATACAGAGCACATTACTTACAGCAGAAGAAAGACAGTTAATTCAAAGAGCAGCTCATTTGGTCTGGACTAGGGAACATAATCCCCAAGCACAGGGGGAAATTTTGGCAGATGTAAAGGTTCCTGTAATAAGACCAAATTGGGATAATAATAATGCTGCAGATAGACAAAATGTGGAAGATATGAGAGTATTATTGATAAGAGGAATAAGAGAAGCTGTTCCAAAAGCACAGAACATGAGTAAAACTTTAATGATAGAACAAGAAAAAGAAGTATCTCCAGCTACATTCCTCCAAAGATTGAAAGACGGAATGAGGAAGTATTCTGGAACTGATCCAGATGACCCAGCAAATATTCCTCTGGTTAAAATACAATTTGTGATAAAATCCTGGCCAGATATAAGCAAAAAACTACAAAAATTGGAGGGATGGACAGGGAAAAGTATAGATGACTTGTTGAAGGAGGCACAAAAGGTATATGTGCAAAGGGATGTAGAGAAATTTAGGCAACAGAATAAAATGATGATTGCCACAATAAACCAAGTAATAAAACAAAAGGAAAGAATACAGAAGGAAAATGGATATTACCTGATGGATAGCAGGTGCTGAATAAAGCCATAACACGTGAAGTAATCCAAATACTCCATGAGGGTTTTAGAAGATGTGTTTCTGAAAGGTATGGCTACAGGAGAGTTTTCACTATTGTGAAACAAATAACGGCTGGATGTCTCATTTTGCAAGAAAGTTAATAGGCAAGCTCTAAGAGCAAAGGAAATTGGGAGAGGAAAGATGCTCATTGGCTTTTGAACAGTTCCTTGAAATTATAATAATAGTTATTTGTTTGTCAGGAGAAAGTATGAAATGAAATATCTGTATGTGAAAGTGTTTATACAAGCAGTTTGAATGGAAATGAATGTGTGGATGTGCTGATCCTGTGTATGTGTGTGTGTGTGTGTGTGTGTGTCTCTGTGTGAGTTTCTCCCCCATCCCAGACTGTGAAAGAAACAGTAAACTGCTGATTTTTTTGTTGTTACTGTAAAAGTGAAATGGAAAATGCATGTGAAGAGAAAACTATTTTGTTAGTGGTGAAATTGTTGTGTAATTTCTTCTTTTCCTGTCTCTTTCCCCCCACCCCCAGGTGTTGCTTTAAAAGCGAGAGAGACAGAAAAGGGGGGTCTGATCTTTTAAACTTTTTTTTCTGCTTAGAATTCTGGTTTGAGGAAGATGGGTGGATGTGAAATTTAATACCCATTCTTGCAGTAAGAAATAAGGTTATTTTTTAAAAATAAATGAAGTATGAGAAGAACTGGAATACACCTATATAACCATTAACCAATAGAAATGATTTTGAATTGATTTGTTTAGATTTATAAATGATTTAACCTATTTAATGGAAATTTGTTTCCATCTGAATGGAATCTGATTAAATTGGAATTTGACAAAAATTAAATTAAAACCAAAGAGTTGATACTAGAGTTTGATACAAAACTATTTCAGTAACTCAGAATATCTTATTAAGCTTGTTTATTTATTTATTTTGTGGAGTTGCTTTTTGTTGTTGTTTTATTTTTTTATGTTTTTATCTCTATGCAGGACACACTGATAAAATAATAATAATACCTAAGAAAATTGAAGGAATTATAATTCAACCCTTGTTTAAAATGAAGGAGTTGAGAAAAAAAATTGGATTATAAATGAGCTATGTTGTTTTGAATAAAGATTTGTATGCAAACAAACTCATGCAGAGTTTGGAGAGCGCTCCTTTGTTGGCTCTTTACTAAGTAATCTGTTTGTAAATACATACGGACAAAGGAATGGCTAGGGGAAGGATAATTGATACTTTTCTATGGTTAATATATGGTTGGTTATACGATAAGTATGATATGTAGACAAATACATAAAATGTTCTATAACATCTAATGGTGAGGTTATTTCAATGCATTCAAGTTGATTTTAAATTACCTCAAGTGGGAAATTCCACAATATGAAACTCAAATGACTTGGATAAAATGTTTATCTTTAGTATTGTTGCAAATAAGAACACAACCACGGAAAGATTTAGGATTGTCTCCTTATGAATTGTTATATGGTGTGTCATTTATGCCTGGAAACATTTCCATGGACTCTTTAGTAACAAGGGATAAAGTAATAAGACATGTGCATAAACTGTCGCAGTATCTTGATCATTGCAGGAAACAAGGCTTGTTGATCCAAACACCCCCTTTGGAATTTCCTGTCCACAAGTTTGAGGTGGGACAGTGGATCCTGATCCGAATGTAGAAAGAGGAGAAATTGCAACCTAAGCAGGAAGGACCATTCCAGATGTTGCTGATCTCTGAAACTGCAGTTCGGACAAAAGAAAAAGGGTGGACTCATATGCGAGTGAAGGGACCAGTAGCTGAACCAAAAGGACAGAGGACCTGTGTTCCGGGTGACGACTCGTTTAAATTGATACTTTGTAAAATTCCTGTTTAAATGTGTTGGTACTGTGACTGTAAATGCCATGTTGATTGTTGTTGTTTCCATTGTATTGACTGTGTAAGATGTACTGGATGTGAAGAACATTTTGGACCATGCGATATAGTACTCATTGAAAAGAAATTGAAACCTTTTGAGGAATATACTGAGATATTGACTGGAGTGGTAAGATATACTCTAAAAGATACTCCTTCAATCCAATTAGTCGAGGAAGAACAACGAGAAGCCTTCATAAAATATCACAATTTAGAAGAAAAAGATTAATATAAAATGTGAATCCCTAGTGCTGTATATTTGTCCCTGGCTGTATACCTCTCCCTCTCTAGGGAGTGATATAGAAGAGCAACTGAAGCAGAAGGATGTGAAGCCTGCATTACCAATGCCACCAAAGGGGTGTATATTTCAATCTATATGTCAATTAAATAAAACACAATATTCAGTTTGTAAGGGAAGAGACAAAAAGATACAATGCTATGATCCATCGATACCAACATATTTGAATTTAAGTATATATGTGGGTTTAGCTAAAGTAGGAGTGAGACAGAGACCTGAAGGTGAAGAAAGATTAATATACATTAATTCTACTAAAATATTAGAAAAAGGGACAGAAAAGGCTTTGATGCAATTTGATGCATGCACAGTATTAAGTCTATCTTCTCTCGCCACAAAGTGTGGAGACTCTAGTTGGATCACAGCATATAAAAAAAATCATAAATATATATGTTCCACTAATTTGAACTTTGTACATGGGAACCCCAATCAATGATTACCTTGTGCAGGATCTACTAAATGTTCAGGGTGGAGTTGTGTGTGTGATTACACTGGAAAAGGTTATCCAGGACGTAATGGTATTACCCAATTTAAAAGAATATATGGAACTAATACGATGAAGTTGGAAATCACTAAGAACCATCCTGATATACCGTATATGCTGGTGTATAAGGTGACTTCCACGAGCGCTAAAATCGGCGCCAAAGACGGGTGTCGTCTTATACGCCGGAAATACTGGTAGTTTCCAGCATATAAGACGACGTTCTAGGAATGCGGCTCAGCGATAAAGATGGGGGTCATCTTATACGCCGGGTCGCCTTGTACGCCAGCATATACGGTAGTAAGTTATGGATCTGGGATAGACGGAACAGGAACAGATCCATCAACCTATATCACTATAAAGAAAGAAAAGATATTAGCTAAGGAAGGAGGGGTATGTGGGAAGTTTAATTCAATGAACTGTTGCTTACAAATAGATGAAACAGGTGCAACGGTGAAGCAATTAACCACTGAAATGAGACAACTTGTACATGTTCCAGTCCAGAGTTGGACTGGTCTTCTAGATGAAGGGGGAATTTTGAGAGGAATCTTTCACAATTGGAAATAAGAATTATTCATGGTGGGCATATTATTAGGAATGTGTTTGCCCTGCCTAATTCCTATGATTAAAAATTTAGTCCATAAAACTATAACCAGTATAATGGATGGCATCAAACGGGAGGAAAAGATACAGACACTGTTAGCTTTTAAGGAAATTAAAAACAAGGTAGACATAACAGAATAATCACAAAGAAGAGATTGAAATTAATTTAAGAAGATTCTAAAATTTTATTAGGTATGCAAAGAAAAAGGGTGGATCTGTTAGGAATAAAATTTTAGAATAAAAAGTAAAGTTAAGTGACACGTACTCTGTAAAATTTCTACACGTAGACTGCAAGATTTCTACACAATTTCTACATGTACACGTACCTTGTAAGAGTTCCGCACGTAGGCTATAGGATTTCCACACCGAGCTGTAGGATTTCATGATAAAGTACATATAAGGGAATAGGTGAAGCAAAATGGTAAGGGGCAGGGATAATATATTTGGTTTAGGCGGCTCTGATAAAATTGTAAGAGGAGGGGCCAAGGCGTCGGGATAAAATGTATATAATGTGTGTTTTCGCTGTGACTAGGTGTGGCTCAAATATTTATTTGGAGTCCACCATGCTTTGCAAACTGTTGTAGTCAATAAATCTCTGTCTAATTTCAACTTGCTGTTTGGTGTTATTCAGTGGGCTAGAATTTCTACCAACAGTGACTTATGACCATTTCTCAAAGGTATGACCTTTGCAGCATCCCCATGGTCATGTGATCAAAATTCAGATGCTTGGCAACTGGTTCATATTTATGACCATTTCTGTGTTCCAACGTTATGTGATCTCCTTTTGCAAATTTCTGACAAGCAAAGTCAACGGGGGAAGCCAGATTCACTTAACAACTGGGCTAACTTATCAATTACAGTGATTCACTTAACAACTGAGACAAGAAATTCATTTAACAGAAGTCTCACTTAATAACAGTCTCAACTGTGGTCATAAGTCGAGGACTACCTGAAATAGTTATGCTCCTAACAGTAGCAGTTTTATGAATGGCCAAAAATAATTGCTTCAAAAAAATTAAGTTGGCAATTTCAATTCCCATATTCAATTTTTATTTTTCATCTTTTGTAGGTATGAAGGGGTTTTTTTTTAAAGTGAAGCTTTCTTTCCTCCCTACAGTGCAAATCAAGACACGGTAACTTTAGTTATTGCTAATTTTAAAAAGCAAAACTAGCAAAACAATCATGTTCCTTTACTAGTCACTGAAAAAATCATGCTTGATCAGGTGTTTTTACCTTCTGAAAGTACCTCTATTTTTTCTGCACTAATAGTAAAAAAAGACAATAGTAAAATCTGATTATGTATAAAAGTATTCAGCATAAGACTGGTACACAATACACCAAAACAAATATGTAAATTTTATTTTATTGCAAGCAGATTTAAACATCTACTGCTTTATATAGAATCTACAGAAAGTCCCAAAATATGGATATAAAGAATTCATGTTATCTACAGAAATGAAAGTTTAAAAACAGCACAGAAAATAAACTTTACATCAATGCACATATATATTATATTTATATATATTTATATATATCATCTTAATAATTGAGACTGCTTTGAACCTTTTAATTAAGTATTATAGATTAACAGAGATTTTAAAGGCTGAATTATCAGGCAAGTGAACTTATCACTGTACCATTTACAAATACATGTCAGTATTTAGTGCTGATGACTATAGATATTTTAATGATTAATGTTCTAATAACTATGTTCCGCTTTTCCCAAGAGCATCTTCTGCCAATTCTACTTTGCAATATAGGTTGAAAGATTATTGAGAACAGTTAGCACATCACAGAATTTCAGATATACTTAAAATTCTGTATAGTTTTGACAAAGGTAAAGCTATAGAAACTGATGTGTGCAATTATACAATGTACAATCATACACAGAATTCTTTTATAATACTTTTGACAATATTTCATTAAAGCTTTTTGACATCTTATGGATATCACAATGTGTAATTTCCTTTGATTCTTGCATTATATGTGTAATAAACAAGTTGATGCAATCAGGTGATTAAATGGTTTTGTTTTTATGTCAAGTAGTTGTACAAAATAATAGACATAAATAACCAGAAAAATTGGTAGCACTGACTTGGGGAGGGAATAATACAAAATGAAGTATTCTCTCTTCTTAGATTTTCATCAGTTTTGATTAATTTTATTGATTATTTATTGCTACTCATTTGTAATATTTAATTATGGGGTATAATGCACAGTGAATAGAAATGAACCACAGCTATAAATAATATTTCTGTAATTTCCTTTGCTCCCACTCAGATCAAAAAAGGTTTCCATTACCAAATGTGGTGCAAGCATAGAATTGAATCAATAACCAGTCTAGTTTTTCAGATCTTCAAGGTAAGAAGTAATGACTGAATATCTCATTTATTTTGTAGAATTCAATACTGGGTGTACCAGTGTACATATATTGAGATTTTATGCATAAAGTTTGAGCAAGGGGTTGGACTAGAAGATCTCAAAGGTCCCTTCTGACTGAGGTCTCTGCACTTGAATTCTACACATATGTCTATTATAGAAAGGCAGTGAAAAAAAAATTGAAGTTAATACTTATATATCTTTTCCTTTTGTCATTTTCCTAAAATATTTTTAAAAACTAAATGAAGCTATCAAACTCAAAACTGTTCCTAACTTAATATAATGAATGGAATCCCAGATTCAATCATTATAGGAGGCCTATTGAGTTTAATGTTAAAAACTGGTTTAGTCTAAGATCAGCTCCTAGAAAGGGGCGGTCAAAAAAGTCACAAAAAAAGTCAAGAAAGTATCAGCCACGGCCAGATTAAAGCCCTGCCTCTTTTTATGTGGATGATAAAAGGGGGGAGGGTTTTGATTGTTCAGTCTCGGGTACTATTTGCCCTTTTTTTGACACGCACATACACTCTCACACATATATACACTGGCAGATTTCCCTTGAACTCAGTGGTAAAAGATGTTTTAATATTTTTTTTTCTCCACAACTAACATTAAATGTTTCAGCCTGTAATTTTTTTTAAGGAAACGGCTGAGATACAACAACGTTGCTATAAGATCTTTCTTAAGAATGCAGGGCAGGAATGCAGCATTTTTAATAATCCCATAAGAGTCTTCCCATTTAAGGCTAATGGATGGAAATGAAAACGTAACGGAGCAAATGACACAAAGTTTTATGGAACAATACAAAATAATGGTGGCAGAATTCCTTGTAAGACTGTCTATTTACAAGCAAAAGCAAATAAAAATCAGCAGCTTTGGATGAAACCTATGTCTAATATTAACATTCATCAAAGTTCCTACAATCTCAGTTCCATTATAAGCTAAATTCTAGAGCTCCAAAAACTCATATATATAAAAAAATTCCTCTAAAACATATACTTAAAAATAGAATTGATATATTAACAAATGTATGCATAAATCAGATATATAAAGAGCTTCAGTATTGAAAAATATTTCATTGCAGAGGCATTTTTTAGATTTCTAAAAAAATACATTAAAAATAATTTTGCTAATTATACCCAGAGATTTATCACTAGCACAGGTATAAAATCAATACCCACATCAAGTTGATTTTCTTTTGAATAAGAAATATTTATATATGTACAATTTACAACCAGTGTTTTATGTAGGGGACTTTTCTACCCAACCTTCAAGTATGCAGTGTCAAATAAATATATAATATTAAATGTATTTTAAGTGTGTTAGCAACACCAGAAATGGAAATTGCTTGCATCTTAAAATTATCAAAATGCTATGATATGGGGAACTGTATGGAATGAGAAAACATAAAAATGATAACATTCATTGGTGGTTGTTCCTCACATGATGATGCAAAAATGATGAGATATTATGTTGTGACATTACAACACAAGATCTATTTATTACAACACAACATTGTCATGTGTAGGTAGATAAGGGGTGACATTTGTGTTATGATATTTGTTTTCCTCACTTGCCCCATCTTGCTTGCTCCACCAGACTTGGACTCCTGTGAACAATCCAGATTCATTTTTCTTCATAGTCTTTGGTATAATGCATATTTCACATATTGCCTTTTAAAATATCTGTTGTCCCTATCTCTGCTCAGGAAGTTAACAGGGAATTTGCACAAACAGCAATGTTAGTTTCTGTAATCTATAAGCCTTTTTTATAATCTAAATAAAATACTGGAAGAAAAATTAAACCAAGCTGGTATATGTTTGCTGTTATTAAAATCAATAGAAAGCAAACTAGAGTCACAAGTGGTGGTTCTCACAAGCTGTCTGTTGAAAATGACGAGCCTGTATATAAAAGCTTTTTTTTCCCCCTTGAAGTCTGATTGACTCCCTATTTAAATAATGGGAAAACACCATGTGGTGGTGCTAGCTAACACACAGAGTCAGTTAATACCATAAAATTTCTTGTTAGTGTTGATTCCCCTTCTACTTGTAAGATCAAATTAAAAGTAAAACAAGAAAATACTTGCTTTAATAATAATTTGTTAAATAATCAATTGTTTGTTTTTCTTAATTAAAATAAGACCACAGACTAGCAGAACACTTCCTAATATACTACTTTAGAGTTACTAACTGGTTTGTTTATTACTACAATCTCCTATGGCTGAATTTAAAGGTTCAATAATTACTTTCAGTCTAATTGCTGTACTGGCCACATCACACATTTGATAGCCAGACTGACTTCTTAAGGATTATACTACATATACTTTAAAACATTGGTCTTTAGCCCCCCAAAAAAGAATATTTTGAAATAACATATAATCCTATACTGACAATACAAAGATACTAGAATCTGTTTTTGAGTGCTGATTTGCACAGCAGAAACACCCACAGAAAAAGCAAAGAAAGGACAGACTGTCAGAAGCAGCATTAGTGAATATACTTGCTGACTGCACATCCAAAAGTATTATTTATGACTGACCATTTTTCAAAATTCATATCCAGAGATAGTCACTAATCAAAGCAGGGCCCATCAAACAAATAAAAAGGGATGATGGAGGTAATACACACAGTTTTTGACTGACAAGAATGAAAATAGCATTAGAACTATTTCCACAGTACCAGACTATGCACATAACCTATTGTTTCAATAGTTCAAAAACATAAAAAAGACCAATACTCCTGGTTTTGTAGCAGGCGCTCTTGACTCAGCTTGTCAGGATCTTACACGTGGCAGCAAAAGTCACGTTTTCTGGTTTGCAGGTGGGCTGGGGTGGGAGCTGCTGTAGTTCTTAAAGGCTTGAGTTGGTGATCTGTCACAGAGATGTTTCAAAACCTGCACTTTGGTGATAGTACGGTGTGCTGGAATTGCAACGCTTGGAATAGTTGGAATATGCAAAGATAGATGGGAGCATCGAATAATCATAGTTTTCCCAGCGTGTGAACATTATTTTTTTAGAATGAGAACGAGAACTTTTGGCTGAGGACTTCTTGCATTCATTACTTCGGTATCTTGATCTCTTCAAAGAGGCAAGGGGTGTGAATTCTGAAATAGGGTCCTGATCATGGCCTGATGTTTTCTGCCAAAAAATCAAAAGGAATGTATATATTTTTAATAATCACAACTGAAATTAAGTACTACTATCTAAAAGTGACAATATGGCCAAATGGCTACACAATTAACCACTTTTTATACAGTATCTTACATGATCCTGCATAATCATGACATATTGAAATGACTGAAATTGCAGATAGTTTTCTTCAATTTCAACAGAGAAAAATTATGTGGATATTTTCATGTAAGAATTAACTTGTCGTTATAGCCAAAACTACAAAGGCAAATTCCAACCTCCTGATTTTTGAGCCACGGCTAGAAAATTCAGGATATTGGAATACGTACACTTGGAAAAAGCCATGGCTGGCAAACAGTGCTCTAAGTTCTACCTATTACAGTGATACCAGATTTGGTTGCAATCCTGAAAGTCTGAGAACAGAAACTCATTTATTCAGGAGTCTGATCTGTCACAAAGCCTTAATTTGTGTTTTCCTGCAGCTTTGGGGTTCAAGGAGTGAAACTACAGTAACTGTATCTCTCTCAAATATTATCCTTTGTATAAAGCATCATGCTGGGTAGCGGGATCCAGTGGCTAAAATCAGAGTGATTTTTATTATCATATGACTAGCAGTTGCTCTAATTACAATCTGAAAAATAATCTTTGTTTTTAGCATTTCTTCCATCTGATTGTTCCCATCTCCTGTCTGAGCAATGTGATAATGCTTTATGAGCTACAGTGGATTGCCAGTGACAGATTTATTTTATAGAAAACACAAATTAATCACTTAACTTAAAGTGCTCCCTCAAATGATAACCAATTCTATTGAATTAAGGGAAGAACATCTTACGTATACTCATTCTGTGGAATGATCTTCCCCCAAACTAATTTATCTGACATTTTGGTGGATTTTCATCATCAGATAGGCTATTTAATGTTACAAATGTTTCTACTGTATATTCTATCTCAAAATATAAATTATTTTTAAAAATAAAAAAATTGCACGCTTTTTCTCTGATAATTTAGCTTTTCTACATATTTTATAACTGCTAAAAAACAAAAATGCTATATTTCTTTGTCATGCTGTGGGAAATGAAAGCTCTATTTTTTTCCAAATCTAAATTTCCAGATGCAGATATCAAACCAGATTAGACTACTTTCAAATGAAAAAGAGTAAGGTCAGGTCATTTTAGAAACTCTGTTTTGGGCTACTAGAATAGCACAATAACTTCACTGTCACTTTGAATGTACACTAATCGGCATACATTAAAATGAAATTTCATTGCATTCAGCTCTCAAAGCACTTCAAGTTATCTCCATCCCTAATTTGCAGGGAAAGATTTAAGGTTGCACAAATATCTGAAGGAGTGATTCACAAAGCAGTAGGGAACAGCTTTAGCAGCTGTTCCTGACTGTCTAAAGGCAAAGAACATGCACAATTGCTTCTCCTTAGTAGTGATCCCAAAGGTGGGATTATCTGTATGGGAACAGTTAGTGACAGCTGTTAAAGAAGCTATATAAGCCATCCAAGAAGATATGGCTGCTTTAAAGCATCAGGAAGAGCTACTTCATTCATGCTAATTTGCTTTGGGAAATTTTCTTCCGAATGTTTCACACAACCTTGGATATGTTTATCTTTCCAAGTGCTTCTTTGCACATTATAATCTATGCAATAAAACGTGTGTGAAATTGTATTTCTGCTTCTTGTTCCTTGTTTATAATGTGTGAAAATATGTCTTAAAGAAATTGATTTATTCGGAACTGCATACTCCTGTGCACCTATAATGTTAATCCAAGTGCTTTGAAGTCTGTAGCTGTTGCTTATATACATGTTTGGAGATTTAAGATGAACACTGGTACCTATGAGATTTGTTTCATCATGTTAGGTACAGCCAATGTTACAGAATGGCAGCATTCACTATATATGGAAGTTTTACACAAAATATATGGGACAAAGTTCTTTGACTCATCTTACAGTCGTTTGAATACCATATTTGATTAAACTGCAAGTGTTCGTGCAACCTTATTAAAATCAGTGAAAAAATAAAACAAATTAGCTTGTTTTTAAATTATTTTTTTTTCAAAATACATGCACACACATGCTCCCACACACAACATTCTATTATTATAAACTTACCTGTATGGTGAACTAATGAAAAACAGACTATAATACTCAGAATAGAAGAATCAGACTTAAATTGGAAAAATATAGCAAAAACTCTGGAGGAAATGGCTTTGTCTTTGAAAATATCACAGCACACTAATAGAAATTACCTAATGATACCACGGTCAATGCTGTTACCTATCAGTGATCTAATTATGTCTCGGAAGCAGAAAGGGTTCCTTCAAGGAGAGGGTCATCGTTGTTCATCAAAGCATTTAGAGTTGATTTATGTTTCAAACTCCTCTGCAAGGATGAGGAAAAACACTGAAACTATACAATAGGTCCAATATGAACATCTTAAGAGGAGCATGTAAATAATGTTAGGATAGCTTATGTATGCAAAAATCTTTAAATCCTGCTAATGAAAACCTGACAGGTTGAGGAAAAAACATCAAGAAATAACTTTTTTATCATAATTAGAATTCAGTGGTTTTATATTCTTTCATAAAATGGTTTCATAATTTTTTTTTATTTTCTAGTTTTAGGTTTGTAGTGGATATTAGTCATGAACTTCAGAAGATAGTAACTGATCTATATTCAAATATATAGTGATTCAGCATCAACCATCACCATTCCTGCTGAAATTAGGTCTGACTAAAAATTGTCCCCTTGCAACTGAGACTGCGTTTCTGGAAAAACCTGTGATACCTTTAAATGGAAGGATAATACCGATCATGCAAAAGATAGAATGAAGACACCCATAGGCCACATGCAGAAAAGTAGTTATAGATTTATATCCTGTCCAGAAGTCCAAATCTGACTTTTATTTTCATATTTAATGCTTGCTTTTTACTTCTATTTTAATCAAAAAGAAAATTTGAATTAAAGGAATAATATTTTGCTTATAGCAAAAGACTAATGTTTGAAGAAAAGCTTAAGTAGAAATGAAGATACATTAATACCCATCTTGTAAAACCAGAATAATTATATATAGCAGAATAAATGAGATAAATGCGTAGTTGTCAGAAAAAGATACAAGTTAGAAGAAATTCTAATTAGCTTTATGTAATTGTCTAGAATTATCATAGGAAATAGGATTTGGCTAATAATTTACCAAAAGAAAAAGATTCCTCCAAAGCTTTTGCTTCATTGATTTAATAGCCCAATGCAGTTTGTCATATACGCTTTATTAAGCCATGGAAACAAAACACCAAAAAAGAAAAGAAAAGGAAAAAAAGAGACAATCTTCCTCTTTCAAGTTTAGATGTTAAGAATAAATGTTTCTTGCTTACCACTCAGAAGTTGAACAACATAAAAACTGTAATGAACTTGGAAAAAAAGATCAGACTTATACTATCAAAATGGAAAGTGAAAAGTGAAAGAATATCTATATGAAATACAGGCCAAACATAAAGTATAGAGATTCCTGATCCTACTTTCTTAGCATCGTCTCCCATCACCGAAACACCTGGATGTTTGAAAAAAGTGGATCTTTTAATAAATGAGAGATGCTATCATGCAAGAGCCAAAACATTTTGAATCATTTTCAAAGTCAGCATTCTTTGAATCCATAGATTTAGACAGACATGTTCATATAATGGCAATTATGGTTCACGGTTACAAATGAACAATGGCATTCAGGAATTCCCATCACATCTATGCTTAGCAATTGTGGATACTATTTAAATTACTAAAAAAGAATAAACACAACAGGGATATTATATTATTTATATACAATGATAAAGAATACATGCATACAGTTACATATATTGTTCGCTTGGAAATGCAAAGAAAAAATCTATAAAAATATTGTAATTGTTGTTTAATGTTCCATTAGAAAGATGAATTATGACTGATATGTTGTGGTTCTGAATGCACTTTCTAACATCCTCTCAATGATATGACCACACATGCAGAAAGGCAGGAAAAAAATCACCTTTTGCTCCATTAGAAACTTAGACTGCTTGAAGTCTGAGAAAGCATAAAGATGGTAGACTGCTCAACAGAAAGGCACTGGTGTTTAGTCTGATTTCCCAAGAAGATTGATGGTAGTACCCGTGTACATCATTTTTAGTTTAAAGCAAGGTAGCAGTTATTTAGAAAAAGCAGTATGGAAGACAGGAGTGTATTGAGAGTGGGAAAAGAAGAAACACAAGGAATAAATCTGATTAAATCCCAAAGGCTTACAAAGAAACAATGACAAGGTAATGCATATAGAAAGGTGCACATTCAAATCAAGGAGAAGTCCCTCAAACTTGTACATCAGACACCTTTATGAACATAGTACAATGTCCTCATTATTACTGTAATCCTATGCACGATGACTCCGCTATACCACTGCATTCATTAGTTCTTTAGGCAAGTGTAACATGCTAAAAAAACAATTCTTGCTTCTTCTACTTACTATTACTGTATTACTACATATTTAATTCATTGTACTGGAGCTCAGTTTCAGTTCTATAATGGCTACTATCATAGGCCATTCAGATTATTTAATGCAATGCAATTTATATAGCATAGTGTGATTTTATTTTTTTCACATGATGTCCTAAAAATAATCTCTAAGCAACAATTTGAAGATAACAAGGCCATTTATTTAAATTTATTCATATAAGTTTGCCATATATTTGAAATATCAACATAGATAAATTGTATTACATTTAAAAAATAGATTATCCTACTGGATACATTGAGCTTAACTGAAAAACCAAGAGTCATAATATATTTTTGCATCACTTTGGCAAACATTGAATAATGTCAGATTCTTTTATCTGTCAGACTATTTAGAGAAATTACTATGTCATTAAATTCATGGGAAAATATATAAATGATGATAAATCTGATGTCAGATTTTGAGATCAGAATGCCTACTTTAGCCTTTCCATTCCTGTCTCCTCCCACTTATGACATTTCAGATTGACTGGAAACTTGGATGTTGAACATCATGCTTTGGAATTCACTGTGCTTTATTGTTTGGAGGATTTCTTCACAATATTGGGGTTTAGGATTTAGTGATCATGGTCTTGAGAACAGATGTTTTCCCAGCATCTGTGGCTGTCATCTTCAGAAACAAAGTAATTGCTAAACAGACCATGGGCAATGGAACAAGGATTTTATAGCCAGACATCCTGACTTCTGATTGATGTTTGGCCAAGCTGGTTTCTGACTGGTGCGAGAAAACTTGCTCAGTTGCCTGAGGTGTGCATAGTTATCCCACACAATCCAAGATAAATGCTTGCTTGGGAATTTCAACAGCATGTAGGAAAGGGAAGGCAGGAATAATGTGTGGACCTGTTTTGGAATGCATTGTTCTACAGTCTTTATTGGAGGTTAGATAAAACATTAGAAGCAATTGGTGTTTTTAATCCTAATTTGGCATACCACTTTATAGATGTTTGAAGTTTAGAGTAGATTTGATTTTTAAAGGGTGATTTAAGAAATAATTAGATTATCAGGGTAACAGATTTTTGATTTTGGGTACAATGCCTTTGACTGCAGTGATACTTCTAGCTTTTGAAGTTATGATACACTGATGTCAAATCCATTCAACCCATCATACATTCAACTCTGTGGCTGTGGATATGTCCATGGAAACAATCACAGCTGTTTGAATTGGTTTACACAATTACAGTAAGGAACCAAAATAGAAATAATTTTATAAATTTTATAGAACATGAATACATAAAGATATAGTCTCTAGCTTATTTCCTGGCAAGCAATGTAAAACTATGTAAACATTTGGATATAATTGGCATAAAATTGAATATAATATCAAAATATGTTACTATAGCCTTTTATATTGCATGACATTAAATATAATCTTTCTAATCTATACTGGAAGGATTTTAGTTGATATCTATAATGGTAATGGCAATTTAATTATTTTAATATTTTGAGAAAAATGAAGATCATTATTAATCATTAATAATAATGTAATTTTATTATCCATTTTCCTTGGAAACAAATACATGCTATTTTTTTTTTAGCTGCTAAAGTGACTGCAGCAAAACATAAGATGCATTTTTCTTTGGAACAATAGTACTTTAAAAAATAAGAAATAGTAGAAAACTCTTTGAAGAGTCTTTTAGTTAAAAGTTTGTTTTGTTCACATTTGGTCTCCATGTAACAAGACTATGGAATACAGTATAAACGTACTCCCTAGTAAATTATATCTATTTATACAAGTTTTTTGATAGAAATACTGGGGATGGATTTTTACAATTTTATATTTCTTCTTAAGATGATTTTTTGTGATTTGTTTGTTGTTGTTATTGTATATTTTTCTTTTCCCAATCATATACATTATATTCCAATCATATGTAAAATAAACTACTATGTAAAATATTACAATAGTTTTATTCTCAATATTTTATTAACTGATTCAATAAAAATTTAAGCAATAAAATCAGAGATATTTAGAAGATATTTAGATAGATATTTTCTGTAAAAATAAGACAGCTAATTTTTTACCTGAATTCTTTCTGTTGCTGTAGGCCATATCTGCTGGCACAGAACCTTTTTCAGCACATCTGGAAGAAGACTAACAATTATAAGCATAATAATGCCCAGCCATGCAGGACCAGTAGATAGCATCTGCAGGAATATGTAGTACATCCTCTGATAGTTGAGGAATGGCCTAATGGATGAAGAGTAAAATACTGTCAGGGGTGGAAGACATGAATTAAAACAATAGTGATTTCAACTTGCATGTTTTTATTATTATATTCCGTCTCCATATTCCTAGACTGGTTAGCTCAAAATACTATGTTTTCACTGGATATTACTGTTCTGCATGGAGATAAATAACTAAAATGACAGTATTTTCTATTAACCTGTCTCTTTAATAGGCGTATTTACATTGGCAGTATAGTCTTCCCTAAGCTAGGAGAAAAATTATTTTGCAAGCAACTTCAGAGAGCCAGTTTGGTCTAGTGGCTAAGTTATAAGGCTAGAAATTAAGAGACTTTGAGTTCTAGAACTCAACAACTCCTTAGGCATGGTAGCTAGCTAAATGATTTTTCGGCTAGTCATTCTCTCAATCCAACTCACAGTGTTGTTGCCTTATTTATAAAAAATAATAAAGGTGGGATTAAAAGAAACTTTTAAAAAACCTTATCTAGATTGGCTACAATCTAGATAAAGAAAATTAATGCAATACACACATAATTCATGTACATTCCATTCCCACACAAAATAATAACATGCTATTTTTGTGTGTATACACTTCTCCCAAGTAAATAAATAGGGTTTTACTGAGACTCAAGCATAGATATTAGAAAGTCCTCTCCCAACTAGATTCTGGAGCTGGGGCTAACAACTAGGACCCCATTAGAACCTAGAAAAATAACAAGAAAAGGGAGTAGAAGCAATTAGAAACTAACTGTGTGTGTGTGTGTGTGTGTGTGTGTGTGTGTTTGTGTGTGTGTGTGTGTGTTTAAGGTGAAACCAGTGGGAGAGGTTATCCAATAGCATGGGATGAGGTATCATCAGTATGCTAATGATACTCAGATTTATATCTCCACCCTGGTCACCTAAAAGATGCCGTAGAGCAGGCATCTCAAACTCGTGACGTCACGTGACATCACGCGACGTATCGGGACTTTTTCCCTATTGCCAGTAATGGGGTGGGCGCGGTTTCAGTGTGACACATCTGGCCCGCGGGCCAGCAGTTTGACATGCCTGCCATAGAGGTTCTGTTCCAGTGTTCAGAGGCTATGAGGGCCTAGATACACAATGTGACCCCTGGATGTCTGAACTTTTACATGCAACAGACAAAGGGATTTAAATATAGATTCACAATGGTTTCTTACCAAATGATCCCTCCCCAGAGAAGAGAAAAGACAATGTAGAAAAGTAGTGATCCCCAGATCACAAAGTGGTTAATCCATGTCCAATAGTGAGTATCCAGTGCAAGCTGTATAGAAAGATACTAATATCAATATTTCAGGGTCTAGAGGAAAGGAGACTATATAAATATTTAGTTGCTTTACGATGGCCTTAACTTGTGGAATCCTGGATTTTTGAGCAATTTGTTCTTAGCTATCTAAACCAAAGTGCTGAAAAGTACTCTTAAGCAATACAATATAGTTGTATATAAATTGCAGCAAATTTTATTAGCAGTTATCAGACTATTTCACCCCCCTACATTTTCTGTTCCAATACCATGTAATTTTTTTTCATTTTAATATCAATTTTATTTTTTCATGAGCCAAAAATGCACTTCCTTACTCAGCTCTCTCTACATCATGTTCCTCAGAAGCTGTAATTGTAAAATTATTTTTTTGTTTACCACTGAGATGGTTATTGATAGTTTCTTCTAAAAGCTCCAAGCATTCAAATCTAATTGGAAGCCAAATACAGAACAGTTCTTAGAAATTCTTTTTATAAAGAGCTGATAAGATGAGGCACTTTATGTAATTAATTTCACTGGCTCTTTTTAAAATTTGCTTGACTTACAGCAGTAACAAGTCTCATTATGACCAATATTACTACCTTGATTTCTAAAAGTTCATCTTCTTAAAGGATTAAATAATCAAAGAGCTCTGACAAATACCACAGCTTTTAGTTTATGAGAGGGAAATCTCTTTTATTACCTTTTCCATGCCATGAATATCTTTATAAACTTTATAAACATTACTTTTTCTTAAATATCTTCCATATCATTTGGATTATAAGAATGTTGTAATTTTGGTGTTTTAGAGATTATACCTTTAATGTAACAGTGAATACCAGTACTGTGAACACCAGTGTTCCAAAGGTCCAGTTTCCAAACATCTATTCAGGAAGGAATAAATAAGTCCTAGGTTAGACATTCCAATAAAGAAAGGGGTTTGGGTTTTTTTTAGAACAGTGCTGTTTATAGGTAGTCTAGGCTTATGGCCACAATTGGGACCAAAATGGCCCAAACAAGGCAATCATGGGAGTAATGCCTGATTTTATAACATTTTTGCCATAGTTGTTAAACAGTCACCGCAGTTGTTAAGTGAATCACACAGTTGTTAAGTGAATCCAGCTTCTCCCCTTGACTTTGTTAGAATTTGGTTGGGAAAGTCGCAAATGATGATCACAGGACCTCTGGACACTGCAATCCTCTTAGATGATGCTGGTTGCTAAGCACCTGAATTTTGATCACATGAACCTGGGCACGCTACAACTCATGTGAGGATTGATAATAAGTCACCTCTTACAGTGCTGTTGAATAAATAAATGGTTGTAAAAGACCAATATGTTCACCTCTAATAGACCAATATGTTGATGGCACACGGGAATTAAACATTCTTTACAGAAAGCCTTGATTTAGTATTTGCAACACATCCTGTATACTAAAACTGAATTCAGCTTTCTAAGACTGAGTCATAATGCTACAGCCAATATGAAGGTACTCCTCAACTTACAACCATTTGTTCAGTGACCGTTTGAAGTTACAACAGCACTGAAAAAAATGACTTATGACCAGTTTTTATATGATTGTTGCAGTAATCCCATGGACATGTGATCAGCATTTAGGCACTTGAGAACTGGCATGAATTTATGACAGTTACAGTGTCCTGGGATCATGTGATAACTCTTGTAACTTCCTAGCTTGATTCTGACAAACAAAGTCAATGGGGGAAGCCAGATTTGCTTAAGGACCGCGTGATTTACTTGACAACTGCAGTGATTCACTTAACAACTGTGCCAAAAAAGGCTGTAAAATGGGGCACAATTCACTTAACAACTGTCGTGCTTAGCAATAGAAATTTTGGGGATCCATTGTTGTCATAAATCAAGGACCATGTGTAAAAGTCAGAAGCCTTAGCAAAATATAGAAATGGAAAAAAAAAAGGATCTCCCGCCTGCTCAACATACAAACATAATCAGTGAATCTGGAATGCTGAGCAACTGATGGAATTTGGGCATGGGGTAGACGATATGCAGCTGTAAAACAGAATAGCTGGAATTGGAAGTTTCAGGTGTGATATAAATAAACATAGTGTTTCAATACTATATTATTTTAGACTTTCATTATATTTAAAATACATTTTATGATTCACACAATTCTGTGTCATGCATCTACAGTATTATGGGGAAGGACGATTGGAAAGACTATGAAAGAAAAGAGCAAATGTCATTTTAATTGGATAGTACATGAATTACGATGTAAAAAGATTTAAATCCTATGCATGCTTATCAAGGAATAAATCCAATAGAATAAAAAACCTCTTACATCCTGCATAAGATTTCACTGTTAATATCAAATGTAAAACAAAATCATCCTTATCATTGGTGGTCATTGGTATCATATTTACTGTATATCTTTCGTTCATGACTTACTCATCTACCTTCTAGTAAAAGTAATTTGAAAATAATTCATAATAACAATAAAACACCTTTAGCTACCAAATGACAGATCCAGAAATGTGTAAGTATAATTCCACTTGCAGAATAGTTAGAAAAATGTTACAATCTCTTCTCCCCCTTGTGGACAACTTCCCACTCTTGAGAGATGAAAACCCCTCAGAGGTATAGTGAAAGGATGTCGATATTTCTAATTTTCCCCTTGAACAAATAAGTTTTAAAATGATAAATACATTTGGGATATTAGATTATTAGTGTATTCCAAAACTTTGTATCAAACAGTGATCAGAATTAGAGATCAACCAACAAAATAGGATTCAAGAGTAAAATTGACATCAAGGTTCTTTTTTCTGAATAAGCAAAATGAGATGAATCAGAGGACTCTTGTTTCCAGTTGCATGTTAATGTTTAATATTTGTAACAAATATTAAAATAGCTTTCTTGATTTTGACATATATTTCCATATTTATGGGAAATATTTAATATTATTAAAAATTGTCCATTTCATAATAATGACCAGGTTAAAATCTGGCATTAAAATGAAAGAGATATAGGTAATTCAGTATCAGATGTTTATATAAATACTGAACATTTTTATAACAATGTTATAATGCCCTGTGCTGTCAATGGCTTTTAATGCCCTGTGCTGTCAATGGCTGCTGCTGAAGGCTGGATCAGTCTGTAATAAAATCACTTGATCCATGACTTAATTGTTGAGGAAAAGACTGATCTGGCATATCACTAAGACCTGGCTGGGGCAAGAGGGCAGGATTTATATAGAGCTTTATGTCTCTACTCCAGGCCCCCAGAGTGATGCTGTAGATATCCTATCCCAGTGTCTGGAGGATTTGGGGGATTGGATGGCGTGAAAAGGGCTCCCACTCAACCCTAGCAAGATAAAGTGGCTGTGGGTATATTTGGACTCCCTGGAGACAAGGTTCTTCCATGGTTCTGATGGAGTTATATTGCCCCAAATAGACCTGGTGCACAATCTGGGGGTTTCTTGGACTTGCTGGAAGAGCAGGTGGCCACCCTGGCTAGAAGGGCCTTTGCACATCTTCGGGTGGTACACCAACTGAGCTCATATCTGGACCAGAAGGCTCTACTCACAGTAAATCTGTGACATGCTTCTACATGGGTTGCCCTTGAGGACCATTCAGAAACTCCAACTGGCACAGAATGGTGCCGCACAGGAAGTAAATAGTGTCAGGTATATGGCAGACATAACACCACTCCTGCATGAGCTACACTGGTTACCAGTCTGTTTCTGGTGCAATTCAAAGTGCTGGTGATTACCTATAAAGCCTTACATGGCTTGGGATACAAAGGTAACACAAATGGCAACTGATTTTGCAGTATATAGATAACCACACTGCCCAATTATACGTTAAAATATGAAGAAAGGATGTTGAAAAAATAGCTAATTATAACTAAAGTAGCATATTATTAATTGGATTTCAATAAACTAGCACAGAATTTTGATATGCATTTATCTGAAAAAGTTATTTCTGTGCATGGAGGAGAAAGAAAAGCAAGCACTTGTGTGGGTTCCAAGACAGACAAGCGCCATGACTGGAAATTATTTATGTTATTTATCTTTTCTAGAGCAAACCTAAGTGTCTTAAGACAGTGGGAAATAATAAGTGCACACAAAACACAAAGTATCTCTGCTATGACAAAAAAGTGCCAGAATAACAGACCTCTAGTTTTAGATTTAAAATGAGAAGGAAAAAATGAAAAATAACAAAGCAGGTAGAAAGGAAAACTGAATTCACACCATGTCAATAATAAGAATGCCACAAAAGATGGAAAATAACAGAATTCTAAAGATGAAGAATTTTCAGTCCTCAAAAATCTTGTTACAAACTTTATTTATATTTTACAAAATATAGCATTATTTATTATAATTATAGCTCACAGTCCTATGCTTAATGTCAAGCAGTCACCTCTTCATCAGAGGGATGGTCTAATAATTTAATGAAGAGAAGGACGAGGGGGCACATGATAGCAGTGTTCCAATATCTCAGGGGCTGCCACAAAGAAGAGGGAATCAAGCTATTTTCCAAAGCACCTGAAGGCAGGACAAGAAGCAACAGATGGAAACTAATCAAGGAGAGAAGCAACCTAGAACTAAGGAGAAACTTCCTGACAGTTAGAACAATTAACCAGTGGAGCAACCTGCCTCCAGAAGCGGTGAATGCTCCAACACTGGAAATTTTTAAGAAGAAACTGGACAGCCATTTATCCGAAATGGTATAGGGTTACCTGCCTGAGCAGGGGGTTGGACTTGATGACCTCCAAAGTCTCTTCCAACTTTATTATTATTATTATTGTTATTATTATTGTTGTTGTTGTTGTTGTAAGGAAAAGGTAGCCTCAACTATCACTGGTTGGAGCCCCGCCCACTCTTGTCATGGAAACTCCAACAATTATCCTGAAATCAAGGAGTTATGAACAGGAACAAAATATCAACATTTCTGATTTTTGGACTTGGCTTGTGTGGAACAGCATAAAAAGGAAACAATGCATCTATACGACATAGTCCAACAAAATAGATATCCACGCAATTTATTAAAAAGTCCCTGACTACTCAACCCAGTGCAGCACAACCAACACAAACCCTAAAAAGAATTACACTACCATACATAAAGAATATCTCAGAAACTACCAACAGACTACTCCAACCACATGGAATCAGTGTAGCACACAAGCCAACTAAAACCCTTCAAAACATCCTAAGTAGATCAAAAGATCCAACAACCTTAGAAGAAAAACAGGAATCATCTACATTATACATTATACAACATATAATGTAAGCACTGCAAAAACCACTATATAGGACAAACAGGCAGAACACATCCACGAACACCAATTAGGAATCAGAAGACATGATGAAAATTCTTTAATTTCACAACATATAGAGAGATTTAACCATAGTTTCAATTGGGAAAATGTGACCATCCTAGACCAAGCCAAGTCCAAAAATGCCAGGGAATTTCTAGAAACCTGGCACTCAAACAAATCAGCCATCAATAGACACATAGACATTAACAACATCTATAGACTATGCAAAAGAGACTATCACCCAGCCCAAAAGGGACAAAAAGACCCAAGCACTTCTTCACCAGCAATCAGCACTTAGATCAGCATAGATTAACTCCAAGGTTAACATTAGACCAGCAATCAAGTAAACAATACCCCAATCAAGAAACTGTCAAAGAAGCCAATAGCAAATAGCCCAATCAAAGGATCTCAAGACCATCCCCACCAACACTGACAGGCAAGCCACTAGAATTTAAACTGAGAGCAAACTGCACTCTTTACTGGCACTGACAATGTTACCTAGTTTGGGTAATGAAATGCCTGAAACAAGCAAGTTCAGAAATCACCAAGGACCCTAAATGTCTTTGGAGATTCTCAGTCATCCAGGTCACGGTTGTCCCAAAGGTGCTTTCCAAAAGGCAATTGGATTTTCTTGGTTTTTTCCTTGAAGACATTTTGTTTTTCATCCAAGAAACTTCTTCAGAAGCAAAGTCTTCATGATAAACAACAAAGAAGGTCCAGTTACTTTTTCCAAAGCATCTTTGGGACAGTTATGACTCTAGTTGAACCAGGATGACTTATCACAATGACTGATATTTTAATCACCAGTTGGTTGGATGGACTTCTGCAATGTGATTTTCAAGCTTTTGGAGATGACCCAGATATTTTGGCTGGTACAAAATGCAGCAGCTACACCGTTGGCAGGCCAACACTATCAGTATATACCAACAGCATAAAACCTGGCTTCTGGACCAAATTCAAGTGCTGGTCTTTATATCCTAAAAACCTTACATTAGCATATTTATTCGACAACTCCTTGTAGAATCAAATCTAGCTGCCTGGTTCATCATTGTGAGATGTCCTGCTGGGAGTCCCCCAATTCTGTTGATAGGACATGGGCCGGTCAACAGAATTTCTCAGTAATACCCTGTACCTTATGCAACTACCCCCCAACCTCACCAGTTTTATGCAGTACCCATCCTTGCTTTTCACAAGCAGGTACAATCTTATTCCATTATGTCTTGGTCCAGTGCCAATGATGTTTCATTAGTTTTATTTTATTTTTTTTTTGTTCTATGGTTCAGCACCCAGAGAACTTTGGGAGTGGGTGGCTTGGAAGATAGATAGATAGATAGATAGATAGATAGATAGATAGATAGATAGATAGATAGATAGATAGATAGATAGATAGATAGATAGATAGATAGATACAGACAAACAGACAGACAGACGATGATAGATAGATAGATAGATAGATAGATAGATAGATAGATAGATAGATAGATAGATAGATAGATAGATAGATAATAAGCAAGCAAGCAAGTCTGTCTCTACCCCAAGGCATAACCGTTCTGTCCCTGGCAGGCTGTTAGCAGGATGTGTATCCAATAAAACCCTCTTGCTTCTTCGCCCCATTGCTCCTGCGCGTGTGTGAGTGTTTCCAAGATGGTCCGTCAAACGGGTCTGAATGTTTGTCCAGGAAGGCTCTAGTGCACAAAATCGGCCGGCGTTATAAAAAGGGAACTCCCATTGATTTATTTTTATGCTCTGATGATGTTGGCAGTGCTGGCTGACGAAAGCTCAGCATTTTATTAAACAAATCCTAGTTTGATATTATCCTGGTGTTCGTATTTATTTGTTTTTACTGTGTGTGTGTGTGTGTGTGTGTATTAACAGTAACTATCCTAATGTAATTAAATTATATGAACATGAAACAAAGTAAACAAAAAGAAGCAAAAAAATTTTTTAAAAAATCCCATTCAATTCTTTGTTTTTTAAAAATAAATTAAGTTTTTTATTATTTTGGCATAGCATATAAGAGGCAAAAAAGAATATCTGAATTGCAATAGAGAAAAACACACATCATGACAAAACCACAGCAGTCTTACCATGTGAGTGTTGACTGTCATTAGCTGAAGACAGAAAGAGAAGAAAGGAGGATGAAAAGAAAAAAGCAAGACACAAATAAAACAAACTGCAAAATGTTAATGTGCAAATAAAAGCAGAAGGACTTTAAAATATGTTTTAAATTATGTACAGTACTTAACAAAAACTACAAATAGAATTTTATTTAAATGGATATACTTTGTTCTTTTCAAATTAATTATGGTAATTAACTATATGATATCTATTTTTGAAGTGGAAGATGTAATATATCACATATTGAAAATAGCTTAACTAAAGTTGTATAATTCATTAAATAAATGTTTCAAGTGACTGGTACCCCAATTAACTCCTATAATTTGTTTGATTTTTTTAAAAAAATTATTAATAGTCCTTAATAGAAATTAACTATGAACTAAGCTCTCTATTAAGATACTTTTAAAAATATAAATCAACACTTTTCGTTTTCCCAGAGACAAATTAGTTTTAAAGAATTGAAAAGGTGAAGATGTTAACATATACTGATAATCTAGGATTCCTGGCTTTCTATGTATAGGTTAATGAAGAGAATTCACTCTCTCTTCAGGGGATAAAACTAGAAAGTGATGGCTTTTTGTTGATTCCACTCCTAAAATCCAGTCTAGGATTTGATAGAATTCTGGGTAATTTTCTTTGCAAATATAATCAATTGATGGAGCCTTATTTCAATCATCATCATCATCCTCACCACCACCATCACCACCACCACCACCACCACCATTTCTGTCTAAAGACACCTATCTTTTTTTTTTTAATTTGGCAGGGGCCTTATGGAGTTAAACCAGGAAGTACAAAGCCTATTCTTCTGAGAATGGAATGTTCTGGGGAATTTTGGAATATTGTCTTTCTCCTTTGGACCATGCCAATCTGGCCATAATGGAAATACTGTGAATTATAAATGGTTTATGATGTTCTGGATAAATAGGTCTGATCTGAATACATTTGGAGCTGAACCTCGGAAGAAGAATGTCAGGAATACATCAGAATAAGATAATCTACAGGAAATATAGTCCCAAGGCTTTAAGGGTAAATTGCAGTCTGAAATCAATGTAATGAGTTCAAAGGTTACCACCCAGACCAGCTTCCCATTTTAAAAATTGCCTATTATAATAACTAGAGCAGAATTGGAAACTTAGAATTACATTTAATGAAATATAAAACACGTAAACATATTTAGCTTCTTGGAATTTTTTCAGAGTACTTCAATCAATCTGTAGACATTGTGCAGAAGATGTGGAAGTGGAAGAACACGTGCCTTAGCATACAGACAGTTCAGTTTCAATTCTGCAATTTCTCTAAATATGGTTAAAAAAAAAATCCTGCCTGAACCCTTAAGAGAATACATGCCAGGATAGATATACCCAAAGAGAAACCAATTCAATTATTTCCTCTAAAACAGCATCTGAAAGTTAGATACAAACCTGCCCATTGCTGGTCATTGTTGAATTGTCAAACAAGAAATAGGCACCAAAGAAAAAGACGACAGCATCAAAAACTCCCAAGAATGTCCGGTAAATGAATACACGCCATCGTAGGTGAGCATTCTTGGCAACATCCCTGAATAATAACATAAGATACTCATTTTTTTTACATTTGAAATAAAGAAAAATAAATGTTTTTGTTACAAAAAGAATGCTGTAATGTTTCTATGAACTTTATGTAGACCAAAGCTTTTCATGCATTTCTATGCTGATGTTTCAGTCTCTACATGTCTTCTCATTGAGCCTTAAACCACTTCAACTTTTATAATTCCCTTCTAGGGAGAATTAAGGGAATTGAAGATCACTTTATCTGCAGGGCATCAAGATGAGCAAGGCTGTTCTAAATTCTTTCATATAGGAAGACTCAGATATATCCAATACATGATTTACTTTATTTTAAGACAGCCAATTTAGTTGAGATACCAGCCTGGAGACCGTGAGTTCAAGTACTGCCTTAGGCACAAAGCTAATTGGGTGAACTTGTGATCAACTCGTAGCCCTAGGAAGCAATAACAAAGCACTTTCAGTCCAGGAAGTCTAGTCCAGGAAGTCTGCAGGAGTCAAAATTACTCAAAAGCATGCACACAAGTAATAAAAAACAACACTAGAGGTCCCCAGAACACTGCTTCATTTCTCTCTCTCTCTCTCTCTCTCTCTCTCTCTCTCTCTCTCTCTCTCTCTCTCTCTCTCTCTCTCTCTCTCTCTCTCTCTCAGCTACAGATTAAATACAATATGCATACTTGGATATTTGTTCCCAAGTGATTTTTGTAAATATTAATTACCATATATTACTGAAATTATTTATTCATCAGTGATTCTATTGATAAATCCTGTATCACTGAGTTTAGCTGAGAAACTGTGACAATGCTTAGACTACAACTACGTTTAAAGCAATTTTGAGCTCACTTGTTTTTCAACTATAAACAATAATTATTACTGGTATGTGGGATGTAATTTTTAGCTGATTCATAAATCCTAAACAGAGTTCCTGTCTTGTTTTCCTGCTGGGAATATTTAACATATCCACACAATAAATTTCACTAACATAACATCTCTTGCTCCAACACTCAATATTTGCCTACCCTTCAGAAACAGAATATGGATTAACTGGTCTCATCTGCCTGTTCAAACAATGATCATTTACCTGTATAGTATAGGGTTTCTCTTGAGCGTCTCAGAACTCACATGTTGTTCCATTAGACTATATAACAAAATAGGAAGTGAAGTAAAGCTGATATTATACAGAGTAAGATACGCAGTATCATATAAAGGCTGCAGACAAAAAAAACAGATTATTTGTTTTAGTAAAATAGTGTCATAAAAGGAATTATAGGGAAATAAAAGAAATTGGAAATCACCAATTAGCAGATATTAATATTACTACTAGCTAATGAGTGTTATAACCAGTATTAATCATTGTAACAATACTCTTCAATTCAGCTAACTCTAATTCATATGCTACTCCTGATAAGATAAAAAATTGAGTTGAATTGGCTGTGGACAAACAAATAATAAGTAAGTATGAAAACAGCAAAATCCAATTAATAATAAGCATTCTCCAGCATGATTGGATGGAGTACCCACGGATGGGTTGTCTTAATCTATCTGCTCCAATTAGACTAAGTCTGAATCTTAGTACCACCCTCGCTGTGCCAATTGCACCCCAGTTTTAGACTTAGTCTCTTTGCTCTAAAGATGCGTTTTTTCTTCGCTCCTGGAGCAGAAGACTGCAGTAATTTCTCATTCACTTTGATTTAGACTAATTATTTCATTATTGATTATTTATATATTTAATCTTTTTTTTCCATTATCTGGAGTTCACTCCTCCTCAAGCCTGGCTGTCCGGCTGGGCTGACAGGCTCGGTACCTTCCTGCGTGCCCTTCCCTTTCAACTCATTTCAGAGCACTTTCACTTTGTGAATTAAACAGCTTTAAACAGCCGCTTTCACGATCCCCACCAGCCAGCTCTTCGTCGGGGGCCTCTGAAATTTAAACTGCCGCCCAGACGATCTCCCTCACAGTCAGCTGTTCGTCGGAAGATCCATTTCACGGAGACAAGCCTCACTGACTTCCCGGGACTCCGGAGATGAGGGTAAGCCTTGCCGATCGTCAGGGGGGATCCGCAAGCAGCGACGCATGTCGTCAGGCCTGGAGGGATCATTTTAAGGTCCTTCGGCCACAGCAGACGTTACCAGAAAGGGGGGATCTGCAAACGGCAAGCTGCCGGTTATTTCAGCACCGCTGCCCAGCTGATCATTTCAATTACCCTCAGCTGCATTAGGAGTCCAAGCGTTTCTTCCGAACGAGGGCTCATTGCAATTAAGGCTTCAGACCTCGCAGGCCTCCTCCTCAAAGGTCATTTTGGTATGCAGACGGTTGCGGCCGCCATTTTGAGGCAGCTGCGGCCGCCATTTTGAACAACCACTGAGGCCTAACTGCCTGCAGGAACATTCCAAATGACAGTTTTTTGACGTGTTTGAAGCTGCAGCCGCCATTTTGATTGACTACTGTCATTCTTATGAACCCTGACTGAATTGGGGAGGGCAAGCTCATTCCGGAAGGACGCACTGCCTATCATTAACCCCCACTGCCCCCCCTCACCTGGGCCAGATTGTCTCTGCTGGGCTCCCTCAGTGATAATACAACGCTGAGGGGGGGTGTTTTCGCTGAGGTTGAGCCCTCAAGGTGTATTCAACAATCACTCAGCATCACAGAAAAAGCTTCCACCGAACCAGCCAAAAGGAAACATGCTACGGAGGCAGGGGGGAGAAATGCCTCAAAACGAGCCAAGTCAATCAAGGAAACCAATAGTCAGCATATGTTGGAGGATGAGTCCCACAGGTTGAGGGCAGTTTCCCCAGGTCAGACAGGCACCACCACAACAGGAAGGTCCATCTTTCCTCACATTATGCCTCGGCCCCAGGGGGCCTGGTCTCCCCCCAGGGGAAGTTCTCAATCTGAATCAGTCACAAGGGCTGTTCCAGGGACACAAGGTGCAGCTGGTCAGGACACTATTACTTTGGGACCTCAGGCTACATTCACTCCCACTGCAGCGGGGCTCCGCTCTCCTGAAGCTCAGACCTTAAATCCTGAGCAACTTCAGGCCATGATAGCTAAAGCCGTTGCTCAGTTCATGGCTTCTACCACTACACAGCCACCCACAGCACCTCCACAGTCCATATATCATTCCCAATCTCCAGATATCATTGATGAAGCCTCATCGGACTTAGAATCAACAGGGGCTGAACCATCAGGCCTGATTGTGTCAGATGATGAAGGCATTATTCCATCTGACCCTGCTCCTCCTGTCGGTCTCTTTGACCATTCACTCTTTAATTATTTATTACTCAAGGCTTGCACAACTGCAAACCTTCCTCAAGAACAGGAGACCCCACCTACAACATCCAAAGGTCCTCACGCCATATATGCTGAGCCTTCGGTCTCTCAGAATCATATTCCCTGCCCTCCCTTTTTTCTCAACATAGTTCAGAAATAATGGGAGAATTTAGGATCTCTTTCAAACCCTGGAGCCATAGAAAAGACACTAATAAATGTGGCTCCTTCCTGGACTCCTTATTGGAAATTCCCCAGATTGATGAACCCCTAAATTCACTGTTCCCCAATGCTAGCATTCCAGGGGATGTTAACGAGGCACTTAGGGCAGAGGATAAAAAGATTGAGGCTGCCTTACGCAGGTCCCATTTGGCGTCAGCCTGGGCAACAAAGGCATCAACATCCATGGCCTTCTTTGCCAGAGCTTCAGTCCTATGGCTACGTGAGCTCCAGGACATGATTCTCCGGACCAACTCAGAGCTCATCAAAATCTGGGTAAGTTGGTTGCTACATCCCAGTACTTAGCCGATGCCTATCTGCACATGGCCAGATACACTGCCCAGACCATCGCTACGGACATATCAGCACGAAGGCTCCTTTGGCTCAGGAATTGGCGAGCAGACACCAAGGCCAAATGGCGTCTTGCCTCTAAACCTTACACAGATGGACATCTCTTTGGTAAGGCCCTAGAACCTTACTTAATAGAAGGTAAGGACAAACGCAAAACTCTTGTTAACTCAGCAAGGAAAGGAGATAAGTGTTCGGGGAACAATTACCGAAGGCAGCCCTTTCGGCCAGCTCCATCCTGGGACTGGGCCCAGGCATCTCGTTCTTCCTTTCAGAGACAAGAACGACAGCAGGATCATTCAGCATACAGAAGCTGACCACAGGTCCAGACCAAGCAGCCCTTTTGAGGCGCAGGGGGTCGTTCCTTTAAACGAGGCAAGTGATCTCACAGTCTCACCTCCTATAGGAGGCCGGCTGACCCTTTATTCCAACACTTGGGCAGCCACTACTACAGACTCATGGGTGTTAGACACCGTCACTCAGGGTCTGAGACTAGAGTTTTGGTCCAGACCACCTGACAGGTTCCGCTCTTGCCCTATTCCCAGGAACAGGACTAGAGCGGATCTTATGTCAGAGGCCATAGCTCATCTATTACAAATACAAGCAATTGAACCAGTACCACAAGACCAAGAAGGACAAGGCTTCTACTCAAACCTCTTCATCATCCCTAAGACTTCGGGGGGCTGGAGGGCAATCTTAGACTTAAAAGGTCTAAACCTTTACCTGATGTATAGGAAGTTTAAGATGCAATCACTGCAATCAATCCTGGCTAGCATCAGACAAGGAGACTTCCTTACGTCAATAGACCTGACTGAGGCATATTTGCACATTTCTATTTTTCCTGACCACCGCAAATTCCTCAGATTCAGCTATGCCCAACGCCACTACCAGTACAGAGCCTTACCATTTGGCCTCTCATCAGCACCAAGAGTATTCACAAAGGTACTGGCAGTGCTAGCAGCCCACCTTAAGACAGATTCCAATTAGAATTCAATGCTATCTAGATGACATATTGATACAGTCATCATCATTCCAGAACGCTCAGTCAGACCTCGCCCAAGCCATCAAGACCCTTCAGGAGCACGGGTTTTCTGTTAATTTCCAGAAAAGCCATACTGTACCAACAACTCGGCTCCTCCATCTGGGCGCTATTATAGACACAAACAATTGTACAGTCTACCTATCACAGGACCGACGGAACTCTATTCAGACCCTTGTACATCGGATCCGAAAGGACAGAGTAGTAACATTGGCCTTATTATCACAGCTACTGGGAAAGATGGTGTCCTGCGTGCAAATTGTGCCATGGGCACATCTCCATGCCAGAGAATTACAGTGGCTTTTTCTTCCATTTCAGAGACTTCACACCAGCACATCCCATCAGAAAGTCCGAGTTCCACGGTCGGTGTTGAACTCCCTTCGTTGGTGGGACTCTCCGGCACTGTCACGAGGAGCAGAATTCAAAGAACCAGACAGGATTACCATCACCACAGATGCAAGCCTGTTTGGGTGGGGGGCACACTTCCAGACACACTGGGCTCAAGGTCGGTGGTCCAATCAGGATCTAAAGAACAATATAAACTGGCTGGAGCTCAGAGCCATACATATGGCCCTAAAGAGATTCAGCAGCATGGTACAGGGCCAACATGTCCTGGTTCTAACCGACAACATTACAGCCAAGGCCCATGTCAACAGACAAGGGGGAACAAGATCCAGGCCTCTCATGAAGGAGGCCAAATTGCTGGGGTATTGGGTGGAACTGAATCTTGCTTCCATCAGGGCGGAGCACATATCTGGAGTGACCAATCAACAGGCAGACTCACTGAGCAGAGCCACCGTGGACCATGCCGAATGGCAACTGGATCCGAAGGTGTTCAGAGAGATCATGGACAGGTTTGGTTCCCCAACCTTAGACCTTTTTGCCTCCCAACCAACTCACAACTTCCCAGATTCCTTTCCAGGTTTCCGTCTCCATCAGCGGAGAAGACGGATGCGCTCCGCAGTCCTTGGCCCAGGGAACTGCTTTATGCCTTCCCTCCCTTACCGCTTCTTCCCACAACGATCCGGAAGATTCTTCACGAACTGGCAGAGGTCCTCCTGGTTGCACTGCATTGGCCAAGATGTTCATGGTTCGCCGACCTGATGGAGCTCTCCATCTCCCCTCCTTGGAGGATCCCAGCAAGTCGCATCTCCCTCATTCAAGGGGAACTACACCATCCGGACCCTCAGTGGCTCCAGTTAACCGTCTGGCACTTGAGAGGCAGGCCTTAGGCTGAGATTCATATTCGTCAAGGGTCATAGCCATGATTCAGCAATCCAGGTGACCCTCGACGAATAGAATATATGATGCCACGTGGAAGAGCTTCTGTAATTGGTGTTCAGATCACAAAATTGACCTCTTGGCCGTTTCAGTGCCAATTATCTTGGAGTTCCTGATGGATGGCCTGGACAAAGGGTTCTCCACAAGCACCATCCGTAGACAGGTAGCAGCACTTGCCACGGTAATTACTTGTGGCAATGACTCTTTGACACATCACCCCATGATAAGCTCCTTCCTAAAGGGAGCTAACAACGCCAGACCACCAACTATACACAGATACCCCTCGTGGGATCTTCATCAGGTTTTAAGGCTCTTGTTTCTTCACCTTTTGAGCCTATTGACACTTGTTTGTTTAAACAATTATCGATGAAAGTGGCATTTCTTGTTGCTGTAACTTCAGCCAGAAGAGTTTCTGAGCTGGCTGCTCTTTCAGTGAGAAAGTACCTATGTACTTTCCATAATGACAGGGTAACCCTTAGCTAGACCCCTCCTTCGTGCCCAAGGTTAATTCCTTGTATCATAGGTCACAGGAAATAGTTTTGCCGGACTTCTGTCCTAACCCATCTAATGACATAGAAGTACAGTGGAACAAGTTGGATGTGCGCAGGGCCTTACATTGTTATATACAGAGAACCTCATCTTTCCACAAAACTGAGGCTCTATTTGTGTCCTTTCACCCTTCGTCACTAGGACAGAAGGTTTCTTCATCCACAATAGGCAGATGGATTAGAGCTTGTATTTCTCTGGCATACCAGACTCAGTCACTGCAAGCTCCTAGAAATATCAAGGCCCATTCCACCCGAGGCGCGGCTACTACAGCTGCTTGGGCTACCCAGGCCTCCATAGAGAAGATTTGTAGAGCAGCAACATGGGCCTCGCCCTCTTCCTTTGTCCGTCACTACAAGATGGACAAATATGCCTCTTCTACGGCTTCATTTGGCTGCAAGGTACTAGAACACGCATTAACATCGGACGGGACCCAGGCCCAAACTAATTCCCACCCTTAGGGACACAGGGCTTTGGTATGTCCCATCCGTGGGTTCTCCATCCAATCATGCTGGAGAAAGGGGCATTGTCTTACCTGAATGCCTTTTCTCAGTATGATGATGGAGAATCCACTCCCTCCCATAAGGTCAGTTGGCCTGGTTCCGATATTGATCAGACGCGTTGGACTAAAGTCTGAGTATCGCCTTAGCCTAAAACTGGGGTGCAATTGGCACAGCGGGGGCGTACTAAGATTCAGACTTAGTCTAATTGGAGGAGATAGATTAAGACAACCCATCCATGGGTTCTCCATCATCATGCTGAGAAAAGGCGTTCAGATAAGACAACGCCCCTTTCTCATTTCAATAGAAATCACTAAATAATATATTTCTTATCCATTAAAAAAAGATGACCACAAAATGATTAGCTTTGGCTATTTCAGGCATAAAGTTGGTGTTGTGTTTCACGCAGCAATCACTATCTGAATAATAAAAACTTTCTAAGCCATTGTGGATTATTGCTTCATATCTCACATAAATTAGAAGAGTAACAAAAAAACGGGACAAAAATAAGCATGATGGTCTTGTAGTATTGCTGACAAATCTACTTGTATCTTACAAAAGTAAGAAATGCTGAAGATTTGTTATCTTTCAGTTGTACATGAGCTTAAGAATCTATAACCTTCACTGCAAATTTGCATACTTTAAGTAGTGAAGATTATACTACTTACATTATAAGGAATCAAGAAATAAAATGCATAGATAAAAGAGTAGATTAGAAATGTGTTCACAGATTAAATCAGGGGTCCCCAACCCCTCGTCCGTGGACCCGTCCCGGGCTGTGGCATGCCAGCAACCAGTTCACACAAACAAGCAAGCCCCATCTGCAGGATGCAGGCAACACACAAAACCACGTCCCCTCCGGTCCATGGAAAAACCTCTCTCCGTGTAACCGGTCCCCGGTGCCCAAAAGGTTGGGTACCTCTGCATTAAATTCAAGAAATAGCCACTAATTTATGAGATTCAAACATTCCTTTCTAGTTTTTCAGCAGAAAAATTTAAAAATTGATTGTTATGTCTATGCAAATGTGGAATCCTTCCAAGCTGACATTCAAATATAATTTCATTATTTCCATTGATGTCCCTCCACTGCTATCCAGAATTAATGCAAGTTTAATTATCTAAAAAAAGCCCCAACTGGAAAAAAAGCTAACAGTTTTCATTCAACTCTATATTGAAGAAGAAAAACTAACTGAAATAAATAAAATACTATAAAAACAAAATTTATGTTGGTTCATAAAATGAAGATGTTCTCAGATACCTGTTGTGAAAATCCACAGAAGAACTGGTATAAAAACTGAGGAAAAATGAAGCAGACATTCTGGAAGACAAGAGCAATAGATATTGCACAAATGATCACGAACAAAGTGGTAGCAATACAATCAAATATTAAGTTCTAACAACTATAAATGTTAAGTTTTTAATAAGACATTACATTAATATCATTTTAAACACAATTTTTAGTAATATATGGGTGTTCAATTCAGTTTATTGATGTTGTAGGCCAGTACAAGCAGAATGCAATGTATTCTCAGAATTCTCATACACGGGATAGAATGAATATCTGTAAGAAACAAGCCATGACAAATGAAAATATAAAGATGCACTTCTTGCTCCAGACTGTCAGCTGAATGTCACTTAAATGGCAGGTGGATATGTGCACAGTTTCTAATGAATATTTTCACAATGCAAGCTCAGTGTATGTCTAAATAATGAAGCAATGCCATCATAAAGCAATGCCATCTGTTCAGAATCTTAATTTTTTTTTGCACTTTTTCTTGTACTTGAGATGTCTGTGTTTTTCCACAGTTCTCTTATTTTATCTCCTGAACAAAACTGTTTTGCGTGCAATTAAAGAGGAAGTTATTACTTTTTTCTCTTTTACTACTACCAGGGCTTTTTTTGTCATAGAATGCCCAGAACAGAGTTCCGGCACCTTTTTTGGACGGAACTTGTAGGGTAGGCAAGGCGGGTTGTATGACATGTGTTAGTTCCGACACTTTTTTTTTTTTTTTTACAAAAAAAGCACTGACTACTACAATCATGTCAGCAGCACCAAAGCCTTCTGGGTTGAGAGGATTAACTGGTGACACCATTATTGTTCAGGGCGACACTCAGTTGGGGGCTCCTTTCATGTCCTTCTTAAGTTGCCCACTCAAGTTATATCCATGTCTCTATTCATGGTTGCTCCCTTTCAAACTGCTGGGTTGGCAGGAGCTGGAGTGAGTGATGGGAACTCAAACCTGTTCCATGGAAGTAACTGGGTCTCGAACGCGAGCCTGTCAATCATCAGCCCAGTGTCTTAACCAGGTGAACCAGCGTGCTGCCTTTTTCTCTTTTAAAAATGGAGTGTGAAACTGATCTATCTCTCTGTGAATCTGATCTCTCTGTGAAACTGATCTATCTCTCTGTGAAACTGAGACTTGTGGATTTCAGCTCTCAGGAATTCTGGGAGTTGAAGTCCACAAGTCTTAAAGTTGCCAAAGTTGAGGACCCATGTTCTATAGAATGCATTCTATTTTTATCAACTTCTTTGACTTTTTCAACTTTTCCTACTTCACAATTAAGATGTACTAGCTGTGGGATATCTTTATATTTTTTTATATTGGAGTTATTGGGTGGACATCAGATAAAAGCATCCCATTGGAAGATAGGCAATGACAACATATAAAAGCTATACCAGGGCAGGAAGAAAGTGTCATTGTGAGAAAACCAATGGGAAAAGAAGTTTGAAGCTTCCAACATTTCACTTAATGGGTTCAGTCCTGACATTACAGTATTAATTTTTGTTTCCAAAGTCTGTATATTACAATGAACGCCTGGGAACTAGGGAAAGAGAATGGTGGTTTGCAGAATAATGCAGGCTTAGAACATCTTCACAGTTATTTTTTAAATATGGGGACAGGTTCCCTGAGCAATTGACTCATCCCTATCTAGTCAGGCAGGAAAGGTATGCTACAGACCGTGTCTGTTAAAGAATTTCAGCTGGCAGGATCCAGGAAGAGGGCTCTCTTTAGAGGTGAGGCAGCCCTGACTCTCCTGGCCTTTCAAAGGAGTTTGAAGACCTACCTCTGCCACCTCACATGGGGCTTGCTGGATTTGGTTGGTGCCTTGATGCTGCTTGCCCTGACTCTTAACTTCTAACTTAACTTCTAACTATTTATCCTTGTTTTTATCGAGCTCCTTTTATTGATGTAATGTATTTTTCTTTGGTTTTTAGGCTTTTAACTGTACACTGCCCAGAGTCACTCTGAGGATGAGATGGACAGTACTTAAATTTGACAAATAAATTTAAAAATATTCTTTCTCAAGAAAATGGGCAAAGATCTCCCCACTACATCAAAGATCAGTTTGCAAGAGGATCAAAAACTCAAATACAGGCTGCTAAAGTATATATGGCCAGGAGCCAAATCTAGGACATCGCTTCCTTTACATTTCAATATGTAATACAATATCTAGTTAATAAGATTTGATGGGAGTGTAGCTTTTTTGGGTTCTGAATGGCTGCAAAGGGCCTGATATTATCAATTTGCCCTTGAAAAGAAAGACAAAAGTATCAATCCTTTATCCAAGGTAAAGGCTAGGAAAAGAAAGATTAGGAGAACCCAAACAATTGGGTATGTTTGGGGGGTGGGGAGGAAGATAAATGATATAGAAATAAAGACATAGTATGGATCTAATAAGTTACTTATATGCTTAACTTTGTCTGGAGAAGGAGGATAACATAGAATCGAGTATACTTCTGTCGATCAATTGCTACACTAGACCATATTGATCAGAAGAGCTATTTACAGATCAGTCATGGGAATACATATTGCTACTTCAGCCATGCTAGTTCAAATGGCTATTAAAACTGTTATTCAATTCAAAGTGGAACTTTATCATTTTCTGTGAGATGAGAGGACATATAAATTTGATAAATAATTAATTACACAAACAAACAAACTTAAAAATAATAGCTTGGGGAAAATAAGAGCTTGCCTTTGAGTCACCTTATTTTGTCCATCAATTACTGTCTCCAGGATAAAGCCATTTAAGAGGCCATAGCTGAATGGCATTGTATTTGAGTAATATACAGTATTAATGTATGAATCCATATATCAAGGACTGGGTAGGAATAAAATATAATTTGGTCCAAGATATGCCTTGGATCCTGAAGCCTTTGTGGAATATGTTAATCTAAAATACTTGAAGTTGGCATTTTAAAGTACAAGTTTACAAATTTATGGATTTTGAAAATATATAAAAATGTATGATGTATAAAAAATACCAATTAAAGGTACTGTTAATATGATCTAGGGCTAGGCAACCAGTCTGGACATAAAAATATTTGTCTTCTATTCAGCTTGGTCGACTAAAATAGGAACCTGATAAATATTGCAGCCAGCAAACAGCTTGCTTCTTTATTTATTATATTAATGAATGTTCCAGTAGTAAGTGATTTTAGAACTGCAGGGTTTTTGTTTTGCTATCCACACAATTGTTATGCTAGCAAATCGATGAAGACAGTGAGGTATACCACCTACTACCAAATATGGGATCAAAAGAACTGCAAGGTAATAAGCCAACAGACTTCCTTAAGGTTGGGGCACAATTTTTTGCATTTTCAAAAACTCTTTACCCACACCAGATAAACAGTAGTAAAAAAATAAGCTTATTTGTTATGAGTGCAGAAAAGGGCTGTTGAGGCTTGGATCCAAAATCATATTACGTGAGTAGAAAATCCTTCCATTAATATGGGGAGAGAGGCTACTGATACTCCAGAGAGCATCAGAATGCCAGGAAACCTTCCCAATAATTTGGAGATATGTACCACTGCTAGTTTAAGTAGGTCAGTGCCAGTGTGCACAAGCAGAAGTGGCTTCCACTGACTTGAGATCACTGTACACAGTTGAAAGGGTACTCTATTATTGAGTGTTTCAAACATTTTTTAGAAGGAAAAGAAAATACTATCTTACCTTATAAAAGAAGTATTGCACCAGTTCAGATATCCTGACATAATAAAAATGCCCATGAATCAGTAACATTTTTTTCAAATGTTTAAATTTCGGTATTGCATAGTCACTGTTTCTTGCAGCTTGACGGCCTTCTTTTCCAATAATGCCTAAGGAGAAAGAAGGGTGAGAGCTGGTGAGGCAAAGTATATGCAAGGCTGAGAAATCAAGTTGTAAAATTTATACCAGAATTTCCCTGGGGTTTACATTTTATTACAATTTTGACACTGTTAAGAAGGACATATCCAGCGCAATTTGACTTATGACTCAATATCATTATTTTTAGGCAAAGGATATGAAAAAGCTTACTTCAGATGGAGCCTGTCTACTTACCTATGCCAACATGTGCTTCTAATATCATACTGACATCATTTGCTCCATCACCAATTGCTAATGTGATGGGGTGCTCTTTTGACCATTTAATTAATTTTACAATCTAAAAGGGAAAAAGTATAATACTTTACTATTTCTATATATTGTAGTTATGTGCAATAGTTTACTTGCTAGGGTTTATTACATTTTCTTGCAAATTGTCTGCAAGGGTAGATAGAGAATACATTCTGGGGTCTTACTTTCTCAAAAAACTTAATACGCCCCTTCATTTATTATTTACAGGGAGTAAATAATAAGTAGTTATCTGCACAGATTATCCAAGTGAATATTTCCAGATAGCTTTCCTCATTCAAGCAAACACAACAGAGCCAAATTTACCCATTTCTCATAGCACTGGAAGTAGGTAGTATATTAAACAATTGCCCAAGTGTAACAAGGGTTTCACTCAAAAATATATTTAGCTGTTTTCTCTCTTGCACATTTTTAACTTTCTTTTCAGTTTTATTCCTGATATCAGTTTAGACAGAACCCAGCCAGCTTTTATGAATTATTTACTAAAATAATTTAGTAAATAAAAATAACATTTTTTCAAAAAAAAAACAAAACATTTTTCCTTTGTTAAAAATTAATTTGTTTAGGGGGATATGTTAAATCTTGAAATCTGCTTGAAATATACAAAAATGAGTGTCACAGCAGGATGCATCTTGAATGAACTATTAACTAAGTGCTTTCCTGTAGAAATCTTTCTTTGGTTTCTTTTCTCTTTTTGTTTAGTTTTTTTGTCCATTTTCAGTTACTGGAAGCAGAGTGTTCAACATTTTATAATTACCACAATGTATTATATGACAATTTCAATACTGACAGAACTAGAAAGATGGAAATACAAACCTGTGCTTTTTGCAAAGGAGCCATGCGACAGCATAAAACTGCACTGCAGTTTCTACAAATTTCAAGGAAGATTTCTCGGTAGTTACCAGAGCTGCCATCTTCCCGTGGTTTCATTATTAATGATAATGCTGCTCCATCAATAATTAAACCATAATCTTGCATTTCAGCTGAAAGCCTTTGACAAAAGTATAGAAATTAATGCTGATTTGCAATTTAACTAAGCAATAGCAGCCATGCCAAAAGATATCCTGAAATAAAGCAAATTTAGAGATCCAGGTCTTGTTTCCTTTTTAAATAAATCCACAGCAGATTTGTTTTCCCCTCTAAGGATTATAGAAAAGAGTACATTTTTTCCACTAGACTGTCATTCCATTAGTCTCTTGGTCTACCTCAGATATCATATATATCAAGGAATATAAAAATGGGCTATTTTAAGGGTGCTATCAGACAACATCAACACTATCAGACAACATCAGTTTCCATGTACAGCTTCTTTTTTCCATTGTTGTTATAGAGGACAGATGCTGCAATGGAGGAGACACATTTCTAGGTCCAATTAAGCCCACAAACTTTTTCTGATCATGCAGGATGGGCAGAAACTACAGGTGGTAGAGATGTCTCAGATAGGTGAACCCTGTACCATCTAAAGTTTTATAGGTAATAACCAGAACTCTGAATGCAACTGGAAGTCTGCTGGTAACCAGTGCAGCACCCCAACAGGGGTGTCACATAGGCATGCCACCATATTTTTATTGTTTTATTTTATTTATATACAATTATATGGTGACTCTTGGTGCTATACAATAAGTAAAAAAATCATAAATAATTATATTATTATTAAAACATTCAAAACTATAGAAAAGTAATTGGTGGGTGGATATTTATAATAACAGAGCTACCTCACCCGTTCACCATTCCCTGGGGTCCCCAGGCCTGATGGCACAACCAGAAAGCAAAGAATGGAGCCAAGCAGAGGGGAGGATAGTTTACAATGTCAATACCACAACTGAGAAATCCCATTGCTTAGGGCCCACCAAATGTAGCTTCCTAAATGACAGAATTCACAGCATGCTCTCTCTACTATATTTGGTGGGACAGAGAGGTGTAATTGGGGAGAGGCAGTCCCTCAAATGATCCAGTCCCATGCCATATGGGGCTTTAAAAGTCAAAATCAGCACCTTGAACTGGATTCAGAAACAAACTGGTAGCCAATGCAGTTCATGGAGCAGAAGTGTAACATATTCTACAAGGAACACATATAACACACTGCTGCATTTTGCATGAAGTGAAGCTTCTGGATTCTCTTCAAGGGCAGAGTGCATTACTCTAACTGGTCCAGCTGGTGGCTGACCAGAGCATGAGCGAGCATGAGTTTGAGTTAGGAACAGGCACAATTAGTGCACAATACAAAATTGTGTAAGGGCCCTGCCACCACCTGCAATTCCCAGGTGGTTTTCAAGGACATAGCCACTAAAACTCATTGCCGGAGTCCAAATGCCAGGCTTTCAAAGCATAATAGGCTGAAGGCCTTCCTGGTCCAGAGATGAGTAGTATGAAAAGGGAGCTCAAATATCCTGTAAAATGAATGCATGTGGACATCCACAGTCCCCCAAAAGTATTCCATACATACTGATAAAAAAACTTCCTGCTGAAGAATACACCTATTTGCATTCTGAATACCAAAGAGATTTTCCAATCTGTCCTTCATCTTATACCTGAAAGCTTCAACTTTGAGCATGTATTTTAGCAATAGCAATAACAGTTGGACTTATATACTGCTCTATAGTATTTTACAGCACTCTCTGAGCAATTTACAATGTCAGCATATTGCCCCCAACAATCTGAGTTCTCATTTTACTGATCTCAGAAAAATGGAAGGCTGAGTCAACCTTGAACCCCATCAGAATTGAACTCCAGGGTGTGGGCAGAATTTGCTTGCAATACTGCACTCTAACCACTGTTCCATTAGTATTTTCAGCTTACCCTGAGTAGATGTCCCTTGTTAAGCTGCCACTGTGCTTTAGGACAGTTTTGCTCAATTCAAACAATACATCATGCAAATTCTGCTCCTCTATTTTCTTTGTAGTTAATTCAAGTATTTGAGTATTTCTTCTGAATAGCTTGCAGGCATAGCAGGCTGCTGCAGCAGTCTCCATTTTGTCTCCTGTCAGAACCCATACTTTAATGCCAGCTTTCTGCAAAGCTTCAATTGTATCAGCAGCTTTTTCCTGTAATCTAGGAAGCAACAACAATAACTAATAAAATTTGGAATTAAGAATAGAATCTATTATATTACATTTTATTACATTTCTATATAAGGGAAGCCCCCAATTTAAATTTCTTTTAACAATATGTTTTCTATCATGTTATTAACAAATTGTTCAATTATTTGACTTTGATACAGGAAATTTCTTTGATACAGGAAATTTCATCTCCAAAGAATGACTGTGTTTTTCAACTGTTTTACATTTGCTACTAAAGGGATCATTTTTCTGAGCTGGATGAGATTCTAAAGCTTCATTCAATCAATTCAGATTACTGTAACTTAGCTCATTATGTTAAAAATGAAAAAGCTTCAATTTCCCAAATAATCCCTTTGACCTTGTCTCAATAAATCAGGAACCTTTAGTTAACTAGAATGTCCCTTGTTGTCCAAACTGGGAGACTATGCTTAACCAATCTAACTATAACAGTTAGAATCTTTTCATCACAAAGGTAGTTAGACCAAGAAAAAAAATTAACTACCACAACTGAATTTAAGATCAAGAAAAATATATCTAACATATATGGAAAGAAGAACACCAACCGGTCTTCAACCGCTGTAGCTCCAAGCAAGATAAGCCCATGTTCTATCTGTTCATATGCCTCTGCCAATTTTTTTTCGCGATCCTGAAGGGCTATTTTTGCCTCTTGAAGCTGCTTTTCCACAATTTCATACTCTTCGTGTGTGAATTTTTTATATGCAATGCATAACGTTCGCAAACCCTCCTAAAAACAATTATTATAGAAGCACAAAAAAAAATTATTGGAAAGGTTGCATACTTTACTAATGAGCTCTAGTTTACATGAAGTCTAAGGCACAAATTATTGTGGTTTCGCTTACATATAGTGCTAAACCACAAACATACCACATATAAGTGTAGCATCAGGAAGATGAAGCCTTTGAGGGCTTTTAGGGCTGACATCCTCCAAAACAATGCCTGAGGATCCCACAAAGTAAAATAAGATTAAAAATGATGACAATCATATGATACCTTCACATCTTAGGAAAGAACATTCATAATGATGCATAATTACATCACTTGTTATGTGAGATCTTTGGGTTAGATCATTCAACTCTTTGGTTCTATACACAGGTAGATACAGGGAGCAGGAAAAGATCAAGAGAATGTATGACAAAACTTGCTTCATGATATCATGAACTGAATATCACAACTTACTGTATATACTTCTATTAGACAGAAGGATAAAAAAATGCAAATAAAGAGAGGTGGGATTTGCATCATGGTATTACCATATAATATTCCATTTGGGATAAATTACATTTCTTTCTGTCTGATAGACACACAATATAAATTATACTTAATAGAATTTGGATCTTACCACAGCATTTCGCTCAACTCTTGACCTGATCTGTTCTATTTTTCCTTCTGTAACTCTAGGAAATATAGAAGAATCTGCTCCTTTGCAAAACAGAAAGATTTCCCCTGAAAATATAGAAACAAAACAAAATGAGAAAAGTTTGTTAGATATACAGTAACATATCTGGGAAGAGTAAGTAAAGTGAACTTGATGAAAATAGGCAAGAACTATTACGTAGGCAAAAGGGGCTGACAACATTTTTTAAATCCTGAGAGGGAAAATAGTATTCAGAAATAGCTCAGGCAGATATCCTGATTCATGAGAGTATAAAAAGGGGCAGAGGGGGGGAAGTACAGCAGAATCAGACAGGCAAGATTCTATTTTTCTAACTCAATAAAGATAGTTCTAGCTTTCCCATGGAGTTGATTTTCTGGTCTGGTATTTTGGGTTTGACAGTATCTTTCTTCCCCTGGTCTAAACAGATTTCTAAAATATGAATAGACATTCTTTAACATAGTTATAGTATATTAAAATAAGGAAGACACAAGTTAGGCACATGCATTGGCTCAGAATGCTGCATTCTAAGCCCTCTCTTTGTTTCAGAGTCATGTGACCTATCTACAGTAGTGCTTTCCTAAGTAGATCTTTCTCTTGCCATCTTTCCCCCAACAAATTTGGTCCTGTTCTTATTTGAAAATTATCTTTCTGACATACAGGCAGAGTTCCAATTTTTTAAAGCTTGTTTAATAGCAACCTATTGGGCTGGAAAGAATAAAAGGTCCTTCAATGTGAAATTGTAAAGTTTCTTTTGATTACCTTTTGCTGATTTTACAATCACACTCATCCGTCTTCTTACTGAATCAAAACTAAGAACTTCTAATAGTTCAAATCTGAAGGAAACAAAATAACATTTTGCAATCAATTACATTTGCATGTATACATTCTTAGCCTTAGAAGAATAGGGATGCCATGCTCTTATGTTTCTTATGATGGAAAAATAATGTCCCATTTAAACCCCATATTCTGACTCAAAATTCACTTACAGAGTTCTAAGTCTTTCCAAAATAGCTTAAAGAATCAATTAAGCAGAATATTTTTGACAAGTAATTTTATAATGACATTAAGTGTGTTTTAAATAACTATATACGGGAAGTATTCCATTGATTACCCTTGTTTCATATTAAAAACAACTTACCTTTCAATGTCATTTTCTCGATTTAGAATTTCCATAAAATTGTCTTTCAATCGTAAATATGTATAACCAAGTCTAAAAATTCAATTATAGACATTACAGGAATTAAAATGATTATATTTCACGTTTACAATAGAGTTTGATGTATGTTAAAAAATACCTTTTTAAAATAATTTTCAGGTCAGAAAAATGTGATTCACTCAGGTTGGTTAAGGATTCCTTTATCCTGTTTTCTATTTCAAGGATTAGAGAATAGCTAATTTACCTAAGCTGTTGATGCCTATCTGTAACCAAATCAAGTTTTTTATTTTGCTTTTACCAAGACATTAGATGCATTCAGATGCTGGAATTAGTGACAACTGTAGAGTATTATTTAGGCAGGAAGTACATGGAAGTTATTGCTTTTAGTTTGCTCCTTCTTACCAGTAAGAATAGCTGAACAAAGCCAAATAACTTCATCTCTAGTTCCTTAGCATTATATGCTTTGGCTTGTTTTTTTTCCCAACAAGTCCAAAGTATCCAAAGGTTCCAAGTGTACTTACTTGCTCATACTGGTTGAAGACACAAGTAGAAATACCTAAATGGTGTATACTGTATGCCAACTACCTTCAGAGTTTTTATTTTCATCACATTTGGATATTGCATTTCTGGCTCTCAGTTATATTCTTGTCCATATTTATAGTAAACATGCCGAATGTAACTCCATGGTAAACACTTATGAGATAACAATATCCAACGTTCCATTTTCTATCTTTCCCCTATGTGGGGAGTGAACGATTATTTTAAAAAGATGGGAGTGCAGATATTCCCATATATAGACTAGCTTAGCCAGTTTCATGTTCTCTTTCAAGTAGGTCTTAAGAGAAGATTTTTACCATTTTTATTGTTGTGCTTTAGCCTAGATTATTATAAAGGTTTTTATTACAAACAAGCCAGACATGTTCACCCAAATTACAATAATGGGGCTTTAAAAACAGAAGAAACATTTATTTTTCAGCAGAAATTAAGATAAACCTAGAGCTGTTTTACAGTCTTTATGTCCAAAGTAACATCTCATATCCACAAGGCCAGGGGTAGGCAACTTTGGCTCTTTTATGACTCGTGGACTTCAACCATGCTGGCTCAGGAATTCTGGGAATTGAAGTCCACGAGTCATAAAAGAGCCAAGGTTGCCTACCCCTGCACTAGGCCTACTTTTGTTTTCTTAATGCCTGTATTTTTCTCAGTGAATCACAGATATATTTTCAAAGATAACATTTTCTCCTGTGCTCATACTATGAAATGAAGCAGGCATTTGATCTTACACAGTTTTTGAGACAATTATACTAATTTGTACATACCTCTGAATCCCTTCAACTAAAGCAACTTCGTCAGGGGATGATGAAATATACACGGAAGATTTTCCTGAAAGCTGAGCTTTCTTTACTCCATCCACCATATCATCTTCTTTCACTTGAACTGTATGACAAAGGCATAGAGCTCGGAAAAAGAGCTCTTCTCGGTCCTAATAAATTAAATAAATTAAATTTATAAATTAAAATGTATCGATGGTTAGAGAAAAGATTTAGGGATAAGGAATTTAATTTGAATTAGTGAATAAGATACTCAGACAACACGTTTTTGTTGAATGATTACTATTGAATTCTGTTAAAAAAATCAAGAAAACTTTATAAAAAAATTAAAAGGGAAGAACATCTATGAAAAGCACTAGTATGTACTTACTTATAGGAAAGATATTGTACATTTAAATTTATTAGACTGATGAGCTCAAAGTGGATACATTATTATCATTGATCCCAATTTAAGGAAGTTAATGGAAGGAAAGTTTTATTTCTCTCTCCCTCCTTCCAACACCTCTGATTCCTAAAGTTTGTCCATAAGAGCATCGAGATCTTATAAAAAAAGTGGAATGGAACACAAGATAAGAGGCTGCAAAGAGGAAGGGAAGGGAAGACTTTCCACTGTTAGTAAGTGTATCTATTTTAAGAAAAAAAAACTCTACAAATAAATAAAACAATTCAATGAATTTAAGGAAATAATGTTCTTGATCTGTTCATTAAAAAGTGTTTAGTTATTTTATTTTAAAGAAATAATATTCTTGATCTGTTCATTAAAAAGTGTTTAGTCATTCTATTTCTGGGTTCAGCTACAGGGGTCTTAGCTGTAGAAATCCCATGTGATCACTATTTTTTTCTTATTATAGTTTATATAGCCATTCCCTTGAACACTTAGGGCCACTGCTAGACCAATGACAGAAAGTCTGTGAAGTTGAACTGGTAATAAAATGATATTTTGGGATCAACATGCAACTTGCGCTCAGGACATTTTATCACTTTATTAAGTCAAGCTAGTGAGATTATCTGAAGTGTTATGAGCTCTGAGAGAAGAGAGAGAGAGAGAGAGAGAGAGAAGAAAAGGACAGAGGTGATGTGATTTGGTGAAAACTTCTCTGAGAAAGGAGCCAATTCACATGTGCATTACAAAAACCAATATATCAATGTAAGCCTTTCACAATGATAAGTCCACCCCACAAAGTCATTTTAGAATAATTAAGTTTACCTTTCCACCAATAAATGATTAGTGTAGCTATCATTAAATACAATTAAAAGGTGTACATTTAAATTTAAATTTAAACACAATTGAAAATTGTGTCTATGCCACCCCCAAGCTCTTGCTATCCTTATTAAATCCTCTAGATCCATCCTTCTATCCTGCCTTATCAAACTAGGGAGGCATCAAGATTGCAACCCTCGGACTGAATTGCAGCCCACTTTTTACATTGCTCCAATTTAATTTAAACTCGAGTGATATCATCTTCATTTATTAGTTTGATGTCCAGAGAATTCTTAATTATTCTCTGCAAAGATTTTAAATAGTGGTGTTGATATCACTGTCAAATTAGAAATATCTTAGAAAAAGCATTTAACATTTTTAAAGCACAATATCTATCAGACAAAAAGCTAATGATTCAAGTGACATGTTTTCAATAATGGTCAAGGCAGTAAGCTAGATGGGAAAGCAACAGCATATTGTTGCCAACAAAATTACATAAATGTGTCCAGAAAATCAAGAAATCAAATTTAATTTTTCAATATGTTGGATCAGCATTAATAAAACAAAGCACAACTGTTCATACTTTTCCACTTCCTCCTGGGGACGAATCAATCATATCAATTCCAGCACAGTCATGGAGGATTTGGCCATTACAGATGACATGGGGTATATAAACATGCCCCTCAATGCAGCACTCTATGAATTCCATATTGTTTTCAGTTAATGTCCCTGTTTTATCTGTGAAAACATATTCAACCTGAAAAGAGAAAGATAGCTTAACCTAGGATTAACAAAACAAGGACAGACAGATTTGAATAATTATGTGTGAATTTTGAAATTATGTCATTTGGTCTTTAGAAAATTTGCAATATTTTCTTTTCAAGGAGACATTTTGCTATAATGCAAATGAATGCAATACAGAGGAGAAAGTTGTTTTATTATTTTTTAAAACAATATTGTATTACTCTAGTTCAAAAATTTATCTTTATGAATTTCCAATAGTACCGTATATGCCGGCGTATAAGACGACTTCCAGAAGCGCTAAACTTGGCGCCAAAGACGAGGTCGTCTTATACACCGAGTCATCTTATATGCTGGAAATACTGGTAGTTTCCGGCGTATCAGACGACGTTCTAGGAAGGCAACTCGGCGATAAAGACGGGGGTTGTCTTATACGCTGGGTCGCCTAATACGCCGGCATATACGGTAAGCCTATTTACAGTACAAAGAGTGCTAAGTGATTTGGATTGTGACACAGGTAATCTTTGACTTACAACCATTCATTTAGTAACTATTCAAAATTACAACGGTGCTAAAAAAGTGAATTATGATGGGTTTTTCATACTTCTGATCAAAATTCGGGCACTTGGCAAGTGGCATGTATGCGCTGTCTGGGGGTCATGTGATCACCTTTTGTAACCTTCCCAGCCAGCTTTTGACAAATGAAGTCAATGGTGCAAGCCAGATTCACTTAACAATCGCATGATTCAGTTAACAACTGCAATAATTCATTTAACAACTGTGGCAAAAAGGTCGCAAAATGTAGCAAAACTCACTTAACAACTGTCTTGCCTATGAATGGAAATGTTGGGCTCAGTTGTGGTTGTAAGTCAAGGACTACCTTTATATAAGCAGAAAATGTCTATGGAGATTCTCAGTCCTGGAGGTCATGGTTGTCCCAAAGATGCTTTTTCAAAGTGCAGCTGGACTTTGTTTTTCCTTGAAGACGTTTCACTTCTCATTCAAGAAGCTTCTGAAGCTTCTTGAATGAGAAGCAAAACATCTTCAAGGAAAAACAAAGGAAGTCCAGTTGCCTTTTTAAAAAGTACCTTTGGGACTATCAGCAGAACACTGCATGACTTTTGCACTATTATTTAAATAATAATCTAAAGTGTCCAAGATATGAACTGTCAATACTGATACTGATAGTGTTTTTTTCTGATAATACATCATATGACAATCAATCAGATCTAGTTTGAACATAACAAATAAATAAAATAGAGAACTATGATCTCCAGGAATTTTTACCACTGGGTGTTCTTACTGTAGTTATTGAGAGAGACATGATTCAAAGTCATATACTTTCTGACCCTTTGCCAAACTGCATTTAGTGTTGTGAGTTGAAAAGAGATGCATCTTGTATTTAGGCATAGCTTTTTCCTTCTCCTAGTGCAGGACATTTGAAACTACTGCATAGGTTTCTTTTTTTACCAAATATCTAAAGTCAACTGTGATTTATAAGAAATTCTGATCAGCAAGATAGTCTGTATACCCTATAAACCAGGCAAATAGTTATGCATTATAATAATAAAAATAATTCTAGGAAAACTGAAATATTAATCTGTCCAGCTGTGTTCACATCAAAGACATCTATTATATTTTTATAGTTGTTTCTGCATGATAGTTACCTGCCCTAACTCTTCATTAAGATCAGAGGTATTCACGAGTGGTCCTTCACCTATTTCTTCATCAAACATTTCTTCATCCCAAGTGAGAAAATAAGAACCAAGAAATTTCTGCATTTCTACTGTGACATACATAGATACAGGAATGATGTAGTTGAAAAGGACCATGAAAGAAAGAAAATCTGTAAATGCTGTGATATACTGCCAAGAGAAGACAAAAATAAAACAATATTAATATAAGCTAGTTGATGCTAGACTACAGTATTATTCATATTAACTTGGCAGAAGCTGCTACAGTTGGATTTATTTCTTTGAAAATGTATATAATTATACTCTTAGACATGTTATTATTGCTTTTGCGTAAGAGAAAATATATTCTGATTTCTATGACTAATATGTAAGAGCATAAATTAGTCAAAACTACTGAGAGGCCAAGATTTGGATTAATGGGCTATCTCAGTAAACATATATATTGGTCTACAATAGCTGACATGGCATTCTTTACATCTTTTCTCTCCTCTCAGTTTGCCACGTTTAAGATTCCCTATTATGTGAGTTAGAAAACATCCTGATTTCCAATCCATGTTTATGAGTTGCTTATTGAAGTGCCAACCCTTGTGTGATTTGTTGATCAGGTTGGAATACGTGAACTAGGTCCATGCCATTTTTAAGTAACATCATCCCCATGCAGCAAGAGAAATCCACAAGTTTGTTCCCAATAGTATCTTTTGTCCTATCCAGGTTTATGCATATGTAGAAACCATATTTTAATTCTTGTACAAGTATTTCATTCCTTACTTTGATTCTATTTGTGAAAGAGCCTCTAAAAATCAGAACCTTAATTCATTTCAAGTTGTGCCAATTGTTGTGCTAGTTGTACATCATCATCTTATGTAATGGTACAATGAGAATGACCTTGAAACAAGAGGAACAAGTACAAACTAGGCAACAGTCAGATAAAAGGCAACTGAGACCACAGAAGGAATGGGGGCATGGCAAACACCTTACAAGGGATCTCCCTAACTTCTTATACAGTAAAGGTCAGGAGAAAGAGGTGTACTTTTAGGTTTGCAAGATTCTGTTAAAGTAATCTTACAATAAACACAGAGCTCATTCTTCAAGGGTGCTTCATGCCTGAACTGCCTCACAGAGCTGACACCTTTGCTAGCATAAAACTGAATATAACTAGACAAAATGGTTTTTTTTTAATTCTTCTGTTGTGCTTGTAGAATTGTAGAGGCAAAAATGTATAGTATTGTTTGTCATATGAAGGAACTTTTTATGTTCAAATATTGGGCTAATTTGTTAGTGACCTACCCTTGCATATTCCATGATACTGATACTTTTGCATCCTGAAATGATAAATATCAGAAGTTCCTATGGTCTTTCTGACAATCCTAAAGCTTAGGGGTCTTATGTTCTTCATAGAAAGCACCAGGAAAAGTGGAGGGAGAATGCCTGAAGGCTGCCATTTTTAGGGCTGCCCCATTGACCAGTTGAAGAGACCACTAGCTGTCTTGGAGTAGGGGAATGTGATATTTGTGGAAGGCTGCACAAATATGGAAAAATTATTCCAACAGCTAACATCAGTGTTTCCCAACCTTGACAACTTTAAGATGTTTGGATTTCAACTCCTAGAGTTCCTCAGCCAGCATTTTTAAAGTTCCCAAGATTGGGAAACATTGGTTTACAGGATAAAGCCAAGAGCTGTGTTGAAAGCACTCTACTTATTCAAGATAGGAAAGGACAGAAATCAAAAGTAAGTACATTATTATATCTCAGTATGAATGACATAGTCCACATACCACATTTCTTTTCCTTTCAGATTCTGTTTTTTTATTATACCAAGGTTCATCACGATATTGCTCAAGCTGCCAAACATATTTCAGGATGGTATTTATTAGTGATTTACTAATTAGAATACAAAGGTATACAATAAGAAAAGCATTCATTGATCTGAAACAGATGAAATAAAATATTATAATTAATGAAACATAGTCATTTTAAAACACAACTATTCATTTTATATTTTCAATTAATCTAAGTCTTTTCTGTATATACATTAATCTGAAAGTCAGATTAATGAATATCTGATTAATGAATATCTATTACTATACATTGTCAATTACTTTATATTATTTTAACTCAATTGTTCAACAAAAATAGAGTCTCAGTGATATAATTTGATACATGATGAAAAAGAATACAGTGTGTCTACATTCATATACAAGGAGCATTACATAGTACTGATGTATGCTAAAAGGGCATTTCCAAATACGCTGATCACATTTATGTTTCTTAATTCCTCAAAGGACTGTCTTATTCTATCTTTATATAGAGGAAAAGCAATACAAAGTAACTAATTACTGTAAATAACTATTGTATGCTAAACCTGAAACATGATTTGATGTTTTCCAGGATAAGTCAGTCATTAAATACACAGAGAGAGGGGGGGGGGGAGAGGGAGAGATACATAACTATACACATACAAAACACCAAAGCCTCAAAGTAAGCCAGGTTAAAACAAGCAAGCTTATGTAAACCCCAGAAATATCACTGCTTCCACTCCTTTTTCATTTTGAGATGTGTTAGGAAGCATTTAAAGAATGATTTGAGACAAACTGTAGAGATTCATAGCTCTTATGTGTGTAATTGAAAGAAATTTACAAATGCCATGAAATGCCATGAAAAGAACTGTGCTATTTTTTCAATATACTTTAGATTTTAAAATAGATAACTTGCCTGTAACCAGGAATAAAATATTAAAATATGTCTGTACATGTGTTTGTGTGAATACGTGCACTAAATTATGAAGGTAATAATAATTTCTTAAATGTATTTGTCGTCTGACTCTGAACAATTTTGAGGGGCATGAGATAAAAGAGATCATGGCATAAAAAACTTGGCAAAACTAGAAAGTTTAGAACTGTAACAAACTGAAAACTGTATTTAAATTCCTAATAATAAACTTTAAGAAAACATTTAAGAACACAAATGACCCAAACTCCATTATGAAAGTAATTATTGACAAATATATACAAATTATTATATTCCCATACTCATCAGATAAATGTTTTTATTTTCTATTCATTTCATCCATAATACACACAGAGATATTAGAACAGTTGATAACACTTTACTTTTCTACAGCCGATCGTTTCTGTGATTTTGATTGGTAATTCAATGCCATTTTTGTTTCCATGCCAGTATATATTGCAACGCCTGAAAGAAGAAAAAACAAAAACAAACAAAAACATAAATAAAAAACATAGGATTATGAAGAAGACAGGATTATCGTTAGACTAATAAATTGAATAATGGCCACATGCATTCATGATAGATACTAAATCCAAAATGGGGTGGTTGTACTATTCTGATTTGTTATTGCTACACTGAAAAAAATCCATCCCACTTTTGCAATACTGATCTAGAAGGGTGAAAACTGGTTTATATTTTAGGATTAGGAAAACAAAATATTGTCTTTATTCTGTACAGTGATAACATTGTGTATCCAAATGCAATTTGTCAATCAAAGGAATTCCAGCCTTTTTGGGACAACAGACATATCTGATATTTTATGATGTCACAGGCATTCTCACAAAAGATTCACTGTAAATGGCAAGGCCAAATTCTATGAGCTTACCTGCAGATAAGCCACAAGGTACAAACTACCATGCTATCATTCTTGGCCATTTCTTTGGGCTGAAGGAACAGTATTCACCATTTTTATTTTCTAAGGATGCCTATATCTTGAAAGCAAGATGAAGCCACAGCCTAGAGCTCCTCAGCAGTTAATAACAGTTTAACAAATAAAATCAAATAGGCAATGGAGCCCAGCAGAGGACAACAATGGTCTCTGTGCATAGATAACTGGGCATAGTCAGAGATCATGGTAGAAACCGAGAGGTTTAATAATGTGATTTTATCATGTGATCCATCCTTGCAGATATCACACAAGAAGAAAACATTGCAAAAAGTAGCAAATGGAAATTGACAAAAACCAGAACCACCTACGCTCACCACACAGACTACTGAATAATTTAGGATTTTATATTGACAACCTTGCTTTCAACTCAAAATAGCTCTATTTGTTGGTCTCTTTCACTTTGTTTTTGAACAAGAGATAATTTGTACTACATTAAAAGATGTCAATGTCTCAACAGGTAGTTTACCGAAGATTTTCTCAGTGTTCTTTAATGTAGCTCCTCTAAGAAGCACATTTTCTGATCCCAGTGGCCTGCAAAGCAAAAATAATTGATTTTATCAAGGAAAGATACCAGACATTTTCAGAATGAAATAAAATGCAGAACGAACAAGGAAACATAATTTTGATTATGACAATTCATAAATACATGTTTAATACATAAAATGCTAATCCTAACCCAAAACATACTAGGAAAACCTTTAAAAGTTTTTGAACAAATATTCCTGAAATACAAACTGAGAATTAGAGTCCATCCAGAAAGCATTAAAGCTAACTTGCATGTATTTTATAAACTGCTGTAGAGTTCCATGATGCTTATTGATTGATCAGTTGGAATTGGAATTATTGGAATTAATTGGAAAATTCCATTTTAATTACACTGTACTACTATATATCATACAAGATACATTATTTGAGTAAGAGAACTAGATATTTAGCTTTTTTGTGGCTTGAGTCAATGTTGGAGAATTTTAATTGTATAAGGTACAGGTAGTCCTTGATTTACAAACCATTCAGTGATAATTCAAACTGCAACAGCACTGAAAAATGTGACTTATGACTCTTTTTCACCCTTACATCCATTGCAGCATCCCCACGGTCATGTGATCAACATTCGGATGTTTGGCAACCAGCATGTATTTATGATGGTTGCAATGTCCTGGGGTGATATGATCACCTTTTGTGACCTTTTGTGACAAGCAAAATCAATGGGTAACCAGATTTACTTAACAACCGTGTTATTAACTTAACAACTGCAGTGATTCACTTTACAACTGTGGCAAGAAGGATTGTAAAATGGGGCAAAGCTCACTCAACAACTGTCTTGCTTAGCAGTGAAACTTTTGGGATTATAAATTGAGGACTTCTGTATATTTTCTATATTTAATTTAATAAACATGAACACACCTATATTACTAATTAATATTTGCATGGTTTATGTTTGCACGATCACAGATAGGAAATAGCAGATATACAGTGCATTCAGAAATTATTCAACCCTCTAACAGGTTTTGAAATAGTGAGAAAGGTTAAATATTGGGGAGTATATATCACAGCTTCTAATGTCAAATTGTATAAAAATAATTATGAGATACTATGGGCAAAAGTGCAAAAGGACTTAAATGATTGGAAAAAATTACAATTATCTTTGTTGGGGAGAATTTCAGCAGTTAAAATGAATATACTTCCAAAGTTTCTTTTTTTGTTTTTGTTTTGAAGAAAGATGCTAATTTGGAGGAATGGCAGAAAGGGATTAATAAGTTTATTTGGGCAGGGAAAAAGCCAAGAGTTAAATTCAAGATTATACAAGATATACGGGAAAGAGGAGGACTTAAAGTGCCTAATTTAAAATTGTATTATGATGCGGCGGCTTTAACTTTGATTAGTGATTGGCTCAACTTAACAAATAAAAATATTTTTCTCTTGAGGTATGGGATTTATTATATGGATGGCACGCTTATTTAATTTATGATAAAGAAGTTGATCAGGTTTTTAAAACCCATATTTTGAGAAGCGCCTTGTTGCGTGTCTGGAAAAAATATTATTATAGGTTAAATTATAAAATTCCAATTTGGGGGATTCCTGGACACGTGATAGAGGGAGTATCTAGGGGAGTGAATTTGGATAAGATTTCTTATAAGGAATTACTTAGTTTGGTTGGGCAAGATTGGCAATTAAAGTCATTGAATGAGTTGAAGCAAGAAAATATTGTACACTCTTGGTTTCATTATAATCAATTGTTAGTAAGGTGGAGTTTAGATCAAAAGGTTGGTATTACTTTAGAGGATGTTAATTTGGTAAAACAGATTAAAGATCAAAGTCGAACTCATATAAAAAGAATTTATAATGTTTTAATAGAATTGGATTCTGAAACAGAATTAATTAAAGGTTGTATGATTAAATGGGCGCAAAATATTCAAGAGCCGATTTTATTGGATACATGGGAGACAATTTGGGTTAGAAATGTAAAATTCACTCAGGCGCAAAATTTAAGAGAAAATTTTTATGAAATGTTCTATAGGTGGCATTTGGATCCCCAAAAGTTGTCCCGCATGTATCCGAATTTACAGCCCAAATGTTGGAGATGTGGAAATTTAGATGCAACTTATTTTCACATTTGGTGGACTTGTAGAGATATTAAAGCTTTTTGGATTAAGATTTGGTGGAATATTCAAAAGATTTTTAAGAGAAAGATAAAGTTTACTCCACAATTATTTTTATTGAGTATTATTGTAGATTTTGATGTTAAAGAAACTAATTTGATGTTGAACCTTATAACAGCTGCAAGACTATTGGTGGGGCAATATTGGAAGAAAAATTTATTGCCTACTTTGGAAGAATGGATACTTAAAGTTTCTAATTTAGCAGAAATGGTGAAAATCTCCGCCTATTTGAAGGATCAATCACAAGAGAAATATATTATGGTTTGGAGAAGATGGATTGATTACATTCAGAAGAAATATGAGATTGGAAAGTATTATCTTGCTTTTGAGTAGATTTTAGATAATTATTAATAGTTTTAATTCTTATTATTTTTGATTTAATTTGTTAATATTTGTTTGGAGAAGGAGTTAAAGTGTGTTATGGTTTTGTTTGATAGTATAGTTGGTTTATGTTAGTTAGATTATGTTTGTTTATTTTATTTTTTATCCTGTAATCAGCTCTGGGAAGTGGGGGAGGGGGGAAGGGGTGGGGGGTTTATATTGTAATAAATTTATAAAACTTTTAAATAAAAAAAAGAAATTATTCAACCCTCTTCACTTTTGTCAATTTTGTTATGCTGCAGCCTAAAAAAGAATCTTTTTAATAAATTTACAAACATCTCTAAAATTCAGTTTTCACTTTGTCATTATAGGGTACTGAGTGTAGATGAATGAGAAAAAAAATGAATTTCAACAACTGTAGAATCAGGCTGCAGCATAACAAAATTGACAAAAGTGAAGGGGGTCTGAATACTTTCTGGATGCACTGTATACTTCAAAAACATTAGATTTTAAATGTGGTTCCAAAAAGATGAATACAATTAAAACATGCTAAATATAAAAATAAATTATAAAGGGAAAAATATTTATACTATCTCTGAAGTTGAACCTAATATATCAAAATGATGAACAGCATAAGTCTAATTCAAAGAAGGAATTTTGTTAGAAGGAATTACAGTGAGTGATAATCTGCTTTTGCTGGTGAATCCCAGAGATATGTCAAAGTATTGCAAGATTTGCTGACAGGATTGATCTATTATCAGGCCAAATATGCCAAAACAGGAACTGAAAAAAGAACGGTGAAGGAAAATGTCAACTGTAATGTGAAGTTATGTCATATCCAGACTCCTTCCATATTAGGAACAACTCCACAGTTTATTCTTTTACAGCAAACACAATGGACACAAAGGGAGCTCTGGAAAAACAGATTCCTGGTTTCCATCTCCCCTTGGGCTATATTCATCCAGAAATTATAAAGATTAAGGAAATGGAGCCTGGCTTCAGCAAGCTAACAGCTCATCTGGCCCCCAGCCATTTAGCACTCAGCTACCCAGCTGCAATCCAATATCCAGGGACATGATGCACGTAGCATTTAACTCAAGAGAACCTATCTTTGGGTAGAGGTTTAGTTATTCATTTAAATGCACAGTCCGGATGAAACATTATTTTTTTTCTATTTATTAATACTAAGAGATGAATTACCTGGGCAACATATGCAAATTTGTATTTGAAGTCTTACCTTGCAATTGGCTCATTACTCTCATGGTAAATATTTATCCGGCCAACAAATCTGAAAGCCAAAAGGAAAGGAAAAAGCTGAGCATCAATATGGCTGTGGGGGGGAGCAGAGATATGCATGTCAATAATTGGACATATGGACATACAAATAGATTCCACTGTTATCTCTAGAAAAAACGCATCCTTAATACATTAATACATTTATGTATTAAGGACCTATGACCACAATTGAACCCAGAATTTATGTTGCTAAATGAGAAATGCGCTAAATGAGTTTGGTACCATTTTACGACTTTTCTTGCCATGTTTGTTAAGTGAATCACTGCAGTTTTTAAATTTCGCTGTTAGGCGAATCTGGCTTCCGCATTGACTTTGCTTGTCAGAAGGTCGCAAAAATTGTCACATGGTCCCGGTACACTGCAACCATCCTAAATATGAACCAGTTGTCAGAACCCACTTTTCCCTGGGGGGGGGGGGAATGTATTTCATTTCTTCCTAATTTTTTTCTATCTGAGGGTTCTGCCATTCTCCTAAGGGGGAGGGGGGAATGCTCTGTGGTATGTTATTCTGTTTTGCTACAATCTATATTTTCCACTGTTCCTACATACTTACTCTTTGAACTGTCTCTCCCTTTATGTTACCTTGAGGTGAGAAAGGAATGTGCCTCTGGCTTATCTCTCGCTGTGGAAGGGAAGGTGCGAAGTTCCAACATCTTCACAAGCATGGGAAAGGATCTCATTATCAGCTCCTTTCCCGCAGTGGACCTAACACCTTGGGATTGGCCCATTCAAACTGACCGGATGAACTATTGGGGTGGGGTTATGCCTGGGACTCTTTTAACCTATTGATCTGAGGGGAAACCTTCAGATCCTGCCTATCATGCCTGCTATCAGTTTCTCCTAATAAAAGTTCCTTTTGGAAAGAAACTGTTTCCAAGAGTCCTGCTTTCTTGGGATGAAGTTTTGAAGTGGGCCCTGACAAGAATGCTGCAACAGTCATAAGTGTGAAAAATGGTTATAAGTCACTTTTTTCGGGGCTGTTGTAACTTTGAACGGTCACTAAATGAACTGTTGTAAGTGGAGGAATACCTGTACCTCCATTCAAACCCATGGCATTTCTCTGGTTTCTTTCCAAAGCTTGTATCCTTAGCTATTTCTGTAGCTTAAACCTGATCTTCAACAAAACACTTTAATTTTCTTTAAAGTTCTTTTCTTCTGCTTTGGCACAGTAAATTATGGACCTATAGGAAGTGGTTAATTTTTATTTGTTTAGAATATTCCTATTTTCTCAATCTATATATTGCATATTTTTCATCTGTTGCTAGTAATCCTGATTGGTGTTCTTAATTATAGAATATTTTTAATTATTAGTTGCGTATAATGTTTTAAATGATCTTTTAAACCGTAATCACATTCTGTGAGATGGACAGCTATATAAATATTATAAATAAATTTTCAATGCAGCAATTGGCAACATACATGTTCCTTTCCATATGGCTACATTTCTATTGTTTGAGCTAATACATCTGCCATCCATTTCTCTTTATATCCAGGACAGCTTCCAAATCTGCTTTAGCCGGTCCTTCTAGTTAAAAATTAACCTTTTTTTTAACAGAATGCTGAAACTGTTGATTACACCATAAGTTTCTACAGCTTCCTCATCTTCAGTTATGCTACATTTATCTCAAGCCTTAATCTTAAATAGCTAGGATCTGACCTAAGAGAACTAGTATTGCAAAAAAAGGAAGGAGGAAGGAAAATAGACTCCCCCCCTTTTTTTTAAACAGTCCATTTAAATCCATTAGTTTCACTTTTGCTTCCTATCAGTTTCCTATAATGAATTCACATTTTCCTTTGCTCCTTTTTATCAGCTTCCTTTTAGGATGTCTCCCCATCTTTCATTATGGTGTGACATAATTATAGTGCAACTCAAAGGTTTTGTAGTAAAAATGCTAGTAGCAGGAAAGAGTGAAAAATGATAAGAAAGTGGGCATGGCAAGGAAATCTATGCCTCATCTCTTTTGGACAAAAGGATAGGTCTTAGATTGTAACATCACAGTTGACGTCTTGTTGATTTTGGCCTTTTCTTGTAGAAGCTGCTGGTTAGCAATTGTCATTTTCTATTCAATCTAGTTCAGTGGTTCTCAACCTGTGGGTCGGGACCCCATTTGGGGTCGAATGACCATTTCACGGGGGTCACCAAACCATGCTGTCCGCCATTTTTTTCCCTTGTCCCTAGCTGTCCTACTCCCTCTTATTGGTGGTCACACCAACTTGGGGGTCACCACAACATGGGGAACTGTATTATGGGGTCACGGCATTAGAAAGGTTGAGAATCACTGATCTAGTTCTTTTGTTTTAGTTATTTTGATAGATCTCTCCTTGCCTTCATATACACAAGGATTTTGCTTTTTCTTTAACAATAATTGTTTGAACACCCAGCTTGACAGCAACAGTTAATTGACCTTGGCTGATCTAAAAAGCTAAGTGGAGTTGACCATGGTTTCCCTGGATGGGAATTCATTTGAGAAATGTCTTTGACCAAGACATTTAAAAAAAAAGAAATCACAGAAAAAAGAAGGGCAAGTAACTTCTGCATCACACCAAGAGAAATGTATGAATATGCTTGTCTAACTCAGCAGGAACTGAGCTTGATTTGAAATAGATCTTATTTTCTTATTTATTTGAATACACTTTAAACTTGGATAGCAAAAGATCAGTGCTTCTGTAGCTTTTGTAAAACACATTGGGAGACTGAAAGCCAGGAACCTATGGAGAGAATGGTGCCTAAAATTACTAATGTGAAAGTAATATTACTGTGTTAGGTGATCTCTGATCCTATTCCAAAATTGCATCAGTGTGCAACCTAAGAAACTCTGGGAACTGGCATTAAAATGAGCTAGTTGGAAAAAAGAAGCATAAACGTATCTACTTGCATCCACAAATAACTAAGTTCAATAAATATTTCTCTCATTTCTCTAAATACATTTCTATGTTCATGTAACTTTTCAGATTTTCACATAAATATAACCCAGGATCACATTTTAACTTAGTTTTAAGTAAGGCATCACCATATAATTCAACTGTGTATGATAATATTTAAATGATTAAAATGTAGTGTGGGTATCATTAATGGGTTAGAATACATAGAGAATGTGTAACCCTAATTCTAGGCCAGTATTACAAGCAGCGAATAAATGGTTAGAAGTCAAGTAACCCATGAACTTTTTTTTTCAAGTTATCATCCCAACTGGGATGTTTCAATAAGGGATGAAAGAAGAGTTGACAGAAACTGGAGTTACTCAATCCTCTCCTAAACTATTAACTGGTCTAAAAAGGACTACACAGAAAATAGTCATCATATATTTGAACAAAAGAACACTTAGATGAAATATAATACCAATATGTGAAAAATGTGTAGTTACCATACCTCAGTACTAAAGAGCCATTAATAAAGATTAAACCATTTGCTTTCTAGTTTTCTTGGACTGACAGTCAGTGTTATGTGATTCATCTTGATCACCTGAGGCAGAGGTCTCTTTCTAAGAGAAGAGAAGAATTAGGAACTGTCTTCATTGTTCCAGATATCTTCTCAAAATGTGCACTTCTACACTTGGGAGTTCAATGTATTTAAAATGGTAATAGTGAAGTCAGAATTAGTAAGAAGATAATAAATTACATGTTCTTACTTATAAAGATCAGGCTGAGGTTGTTCACATTCAATGGTAGCATGTAGTTTATCAATATCTTGTTCATTGTGAAGAGTCTTTGTATCTTGGACCGCATAATATGTCTGGAATAAAAAAGGAAATAATACTGAAACTGGAAACAAGAACTCTGAACATGAAACACAGTTCTTTTCATCTTTCCATCTGTAATCACGTAGTCTAACACTACAATATTGCAAAATTCTGCAGTTTTGAATGACTACCAAACAGCTATCTTTGCAGATATAAATTCTGAGATTTTAACTAAACCAAACCATTTTACATGGATCTACTAGGTTAAATTAGCATGTTATAAGCTGTATCAGAAAGCTCATATTTTCAAAATGGTGCAGAGCTCTGAACAAACTCAAATTTTGATATGTCGTATATTAAACCAAAGGTAGGTAATCTTTTAATTATGAGGAGCACATCCTTCCTGTCAGGATGGTGACAGCAAGTAATATAGTGGGCAGGGGAATGTGATGCTAATCTGCAGCTGATTTTTCAGGAAGCCCATTCTTTGAAGTGTGAACAGGTTTATTGCATAAATCTATACCAGTCTAAAAAGGGGATTTATGCAGTGTCATTTTCAGGGGATATAAGGTCATAAAAAGCACACTATTGCAATTGAAACCCTGTTCCTTTTAAGATGTGCAATGTTGACACACATATAAAAGCACTGAAGTTTCTATTAGGATATCACATCTGTCATCTTGCCTGTTGTGATCCCCTTCGGAGGTGATGGTTTGTCTTATTACTCACCTACAAAAACTAACATTGTAGCTTTAGGTTATTTAATCCTCCAGAAACATAGACACTTTCATTCATAAATTGAGGTTCTGTAATATAAGAGAAACATCCAATGCCTGATCTTCAGCTAGAGTCTATCATTAAAGTTGTTACCTTATGACTTGATTCACCATCCAAACTTGCTGTTGTAACAAAACATGTGCCATCTGATCGATTACTTGACAATAATATTAAATCACAAGGGAATGTTTCATCTTCTTTTACCATCACAATGTCTCCAACCTAGGGGGGAAAGGCAAGGGGAAATCATGGTTAGAATAAGATTAGAGTTGCTCCCCATAAAGTGAATCCATTGTTAATATACTGTTAAACCAAAATGTGACTTGTCTATTTTTAGGCTTAGTATGATGTCTATCATAACACAGAAACCCAACAAGATTGCTTAATGTTACCCATAAATCAAATTATTATAGTTTAAAATACTGGTTTAGTGCTGTACAATGAACCTATTGGCTTGGTTACAGAATGTGGTAAGTCATAATGTACAGTAGTTTTGTTGTTTGTGTCTTAATGGGGTTTATATCCCATGTTAACGGCTTAATATTAAGCCAGTTGAAGTAGCTTATTCAATAAATCATGGTCAAAACAGATCATGGCCTAGCATGACATTAAGTTGATTAAACCTAGGCTGCAACATAATGTAATTTGATTTGGATTTAATCTAATAAGTAAATTACATTGGTGACTGAATTATTATTCTTTCTGTGATTTTATTGGCGTACCAGACTATAGTGCATCATGATATGCACATAAGGATTCAATATTTATTTGTGAATTTCTGATATAATCCTACAGTACTTTGTTCTTTCTGTCTAGGCCTATATACAATTCACACTGCAAAACTATAGCTACAAATCAAGAAAAAACAAATTAGAAATTATTAACTCTATTTTGCTTCTGTCCTGTTCAGAAAATCACCGAATAGAAGTAGCACTTCCTCACAGTCTCCTGTACTGCTCAGCTGCAATATTATGTTTCAAGTGATAAATTGGGGAACTGCAGTTGTAACAAGGAATGAAAATACGTGTTGAGACATTGCAATGCAAACATAACCCCTCACATACTGGCATTGTAACACTAGTGGAGAAGGTTTGTATTGTGACGTCTCAATGTCACAATGCAAACTTCATCATTTTGATTGGTGTCAAGATGGCTGACTGAAAAGTGTCCACTTAGGTGACGTTTTTGAAATATTTTGCTAAGCTACAATTACCATGATTTCATGCTATGTTGACTGTGATTGCTAGAATTTATGGTGTTTCCTGAAGTATAGTGAAACTTAGGAATAAATAGGAACAGAGAGGATCACTCTTGAACACAAGAGTGGAATTCTCAAGGGTTATTGAAATTTGTACTTTTAGATTGTTAGCTCCAATAGAAACAAACTGTTAATATAAATGAAGGATCAAACTCATTTGATCCCTGCTAATATATCAAATGTACAGGAATCCTAAGCTTTTAAACAAAAAATTAAAAATATTTAAAGAACAGCAATAAAACACCCAATATTTTTCTAATAGCATTCCCTCAAAATAACACCTATAGATAATAGCTTTTAGTTTTGTTTTAAGCTCAGTTTAAAGTAGAAGAGGAAGAAAAATTGGAAACATTTATGTAAAACATATAGTCATTTTTCATGCACCAGTGAAGTAAAATAATATGCAAAACTCTCTCTAGAGGAAAAAGCAGACCAACCAAGCAGAAGTACTTATTGACCTAGAAAAAAACTGTAAATATAAACAATGTAATTTATGAAAAGAACGCTCCAAAATTATACCCCTTTGCTATTCACTAAAGCTGCCTCTCTTTTTCTTAGCTTCCTCATGAGCCTTTAAGAGCTGCATTAACTTTAATTAGTAAACTGCTTAAAGGAACTGTGAGGGTGCAGTGGTTGGAATGAAGTATTGCAGGATAACCCCACCCACAGCCAAGATTTCGATCCTGATCAGCTCAAGGTTGACTCAGCCTTCCATCCTTCCGGGATTGGTAAAATGAGACCCAGATTGTTGGGGGCAACATGCTGAGCCCACTTAGAGAGGGCTGTAAAGCACTATGGGGCAATATATAAGTCTTCTATGCTATTGCAGCCTTCCCCCCACCATATATACACAGAAATCTGAAAAAAAAATGGACTGCTTTAATTAACATAAATATGTTGTGCTTATGATTGTGGGATTGTGATGTACATCTTGAAAGTTATTTCTACATATATTATATTCACTTAGCTGGATACACAATTAAAAATCCTTAGCTGTTAACAGAATAACATGCCTTGATTTGCTTTAAATACTTTCACATTATAAACATATAGTGCCTTAAAGATTAACAAAAAAATCTCATAAGATGATAGTGACAAACACTTCCCTTATTGCAGTGTTTCTCAACCTTGACAATTTTAAGGCATGTGGACTTCAACTCCCAGAATTCCACAGCCAGCAATGCTGGCTGTGGAATTCTGGGAGTTGAAGTCCACATGCCTTAAAATTGTCAAGGTTGAGAAACACTGCCTTATTGTCTCAATAAAATAAGGATGTTTCTATATAATCACCAGAAATTAAGTTCAGTTTGAGTGAAATGTTCAATCATGTCCAGTTCTCAGAGACTGCCTGGACAAGTCCCTGAAATTTTCTTGGCAAGGTTTTTCAGAAGTGATTTGTTGTTGTCTGCTTCCTAGGGCTGGGACTAGTCCAGTGTTTGCTCAACCCATGATTCTGGGAGTTGCAGTCCACCCACCTTAAAATTGCCAATGTTGAGAAGTAGCCCAAGGTCACCTAGCTGGACTAGCCCAAGGTCACCCAGATGGCTTTGTGCCCAAGGTAGGACTAGAACTCAGTCTCCCTGGATAGAGTAATGTAGATAGCCAGTTTGGTGTAGAGATTAAGGCTGGGAACTAGAAACCAGAATACTCTGAGTTCTAGTCCCAATTAGGCACAAAGCCAGCTGGGTGAACTCAGGCTAGTTGCTTTCTCTCATCCCTAGGAACCAGGCAATGGCAAATGAAAAACCCTGCCAAAAAAACTGCAGTGACTTGTCCAGGCAGTCTCTGAGAATCAAAAATAACTGAATGGAAGAAAAAAAAGATTTCACTACATCTGTGTCAAGTGTCAATCTGAGCTGGCATATGTATTAGGAAAAAAGGGGAAGAGATTAGAAAAGATCTAGTGATCCACTGAGTATACTCTTCAAGTTTTTGCTTACTTACTTACTTACTTTATTTATTTATTTATTATTTACTCTTTGTCACATGATGAACATATATTTATCCGAAGCATGTTTAAACTCAGTTATTGATGATTGACCCACTACCTCCGCTGGAAGTTAGTTCCAAGCTTTTACATCTCTGTCTGTGAAGTAATATGTTGTAACGTTACATTTGAACTTCCCTCCTGTCAGTTTGAGGTTATGCCCCTTGTTCCTAATTTTTGCTTAATATTGAAAATACTGCCTTTTAGAACCTTACTCACACCCTTAACATATTTAAAGGTTTAGGTCATGTCACCCCTTTACCTTCTGTCTCTCCCACCTTTATGTATTCATTTTCTCCAATCTTTCCTGATACGTTTTGTCCCTCAGACCTTGCACCATTTTTGTTGTCCATCTCTGGATTCACTCAATCTTATTATTATCTTTGTTTAAGTGAGATCTCTAGAACTGGACACCATATTCTCCAAATGGGGTCTGACTAACTTCTATATATAAAATTAGGACTTTCTTTTTTCTGCTGCTGATCCCTCTAGTTATGCACTGCAGAATTTTATTTGCCTTCACAGCTGCCTGGCCACCCTATTTATTCATTTTGCAGTCATTTCTTATCAACATACCTACATTCTTTTCTTCTGTTGTGCTATCTAACACTTTACCCTCAATACTGTGCCCTGCTAATGGATTCTTTTTTCCTAAGTGCATGATATTACCATTACAAACACCGAGCAATGGTTTCCACATTTTGATCAATTTTTCAATAATGCGAAATCATTTTCCATATTATGAATACCCCAGGAATATCAACTCTATTACACACCTTCGTGTTATCAGCAAAAAGACAAACCTAGCAATCTTTCTAATGCAGACATGTCAAACACAAGGCCCGGGGTCCAGATGCGGCCTGCGAAGTGGTTTCATGTGGCCTGCGAAGCCATTCTGGAAACAGTGAGGGAACAGCCCCCACTGCCTTGGCCCTGGCCCAGGCCGGCCAAGAGTCAATGTACAATTTTGTGTTGGCCATCTATGCTGAAACACATTCAAGCTTAGCTCCACAAGGCCGTCTGGAAACAGTGAGGAACCAGCCCCTGCCGCGTCAGCCCCACCCCCTGGGTGCATGCTGGGGAGGTGTCACCCTTTGTGAGGAATGAAGAAATGGACCATGCCTTGACGCTTGTGCCAGTCCCTTCTGCCAGAGACCCTCAGATCTGTCCCACTTCTGCCCAGGCCCCCACAGGCACCCTTGATGCGAACAATGTAGAGCTGGCCATGCCCACCCACTAGGCCACACCTACTCCATCCACGCCCACCCAATAGGCTACACCCACCCTGGCCACACACACCCGCCCCCCCGAGGGCAACCGCAATGCTGATGTGGCCCTCAATGAAATTGAGTTTGACACCCCTGGTCTAATGTATCACTTATAAGCACACAGAATAGAACAGGAGTTAGACTGAGGTTTGTGGTACACCACTTGTGACTTGTCTCTGTTCAGGCAGTGCTTCGTTAAAAAATCACACACTGGAATCTATCCCTGAGCCAACTTCCTATCCAATGAATCACCCAGTAGTTAAGTCCTAACCTGTACATTTTTTATGAGTTCGTTATGTGGAACTGTATCAAATACTTTGGTAAAATGCAGACAGGCTATGTCCATAGCACCACCTTCATTGAAAACATTTGTGACATAATTTAAAAAATCAGTTAGATTAGTTTGACAAGTAAAGCCATGCTGCTTTGGGTCCATCAAGTTGTGTGCTTTTAAATGTTCATTAATCCTTTTTTTCAGGAGTAATTCCATTAACTTCGCTATATATTTATTCATGTATTTTAACTTTAGTATTGATATATACCATTTTTCAAGAAGATAGCTGCCGAAATGAACTGTAGTCTAGAAAAGACAGTGCCATAATAAATTTGCTAGTTTTAAAGATATTAAGGCTATGTATCAGTGGTCCCTGGACATTGATCAGCAAGGAAATAAGAAGTTATTCATCAGGCAGGAAGTTGTGCTATAATAATATGGTAGAGCAACATTCACCTCTTAACATATTTACATCCTATAACATTCTCTGATTTTAAATGATGCTATTTTGCATGATGTAGTTATGGATTGTGGCTCTTTACACATTCAGAAATATTTGTCAATCTAAAAAGGGAATGGTGGTTTTAAACTGATGTGCTAAAAGTGTCTTTCTTATAAGGTGCTTAAAAGCATTCCAATGGTCATAATGGTCTACATAAAGGAAATGATCAAGAACAAAAGTTCTAGCATTAGCTATCATTAGAGGGTTAAGAACTATTGAATCTAGTGAAAATTTCTTCTCATTTTGTATTAAAAAGTAAACTGCCAATGTTACTTTTATGACTTTTAGATTATTCTATTTATTTATGGTTTATTCATTTAACTATTATATTGGCTTGTTTAGATTACCGGTAAGTTGAATTAGTCAGAGGATGTAATAAGAAGAAATGGCCTTGAGAAACAGAAGGAAGAGATGCTACTAAAACAATGGTCAAATAAAAGGCACTGACTCTGGGACAAGAATATAAGATGTGTAAACATCTTAGGCAAGCCCTTTCCTAGTTTACACAAAGATAAGGAGTATTCAGAGAATTGCAGTGTTCTCTTACTATACTTTTACAGTAAAAGTAGAGACATGACATTGGTGTCTTACTGTTCCTTGAAGGGCTGACAGACTGTGACAGCCACCATGGGAAAATAGTTTTTTAAATAGCCCTCAACAACAATAAAAAGATCCATATCCCATTGCATAAAGATTGCTTTCAAATTTTTCTATAAATCAACAGCATAATCCTTGTATGTTTATTCAAAAGAACTTTCCACTATATCTAAATAAATTTTACTGAACAATGGAAAACAACACCCAGCCATGTAGCCAATGATCTGCTTTGCCTTCATTCTTCTCATATTCTGCCTATTAAGCAGGGACTGTTACAAAATGGCCCCTCAGTAAACTATGGAGAGTTCAGGAATCAGCATGTACAATCAACATTAAAACTCAAGAGATGTTATGGATGAAATTAAGTACCCTTTCATTCTTTCTTGTCTCTTTTTATATACACTTGCACTCATTTGATCTCATTTTGCTAGTTCCTATATATAAAGTTATTTTAGTTCAGCAGAGAATAAAATCTACAATAATCCCAGTTGTAGTTTTCAAGTTGTTAAGAGATCCCTTCTGCCTGGACTATATACATTCGTATTTGCCACAAGCCTAGACAGGAAGACTCCCAAGAGCACCATCATGAAGAGAGTGCTAGAATTAAGTCTCCTTTTTCAGTGAAACAGAACTCTTAAGATCCATTGGTTCAATATTTACAGGATGTGTAAAGTTCAAGTTACAAAGAAAAAAATACTTCCTGCTATAATACCAGTCTTACTGGTTTCTCTTATACTATCACTCTAATCTTGTTTGTCTACAATCTTATTCCCAGTTATTTTAAAAGTTCTGAAAGACAGCACATGTGAAATTCATTCAAAGTGGATTTGAGTAGCTATTTACATTACAACATTCTACTTTGTAATTTTCCTATCATAGGCAAACTCAGAAGGTCACAAATACGAGACTATTTTTTGAAACAACAGCCAAGCACGTGAAATCTTAAATACAGTACTAATACCTTTCTTAGCACCCATATATTAACTTTATTATGATCACAAACCAGCATAATTACATTTCTTATGGCACATGATTCATGTACTGCAATCTCACTTATGTTGTTAGGAACAATACAATAGTACACTTTATTTAATTATTTATTTAAACTAATGTATTTAGTTGCCGAATTCACCAAAGCAATTCTGGACAGTGTACAATAAAGCTAAAATATAAGTGCATATAAATGCATAAAACTACTTATCATTATTAATTATAAAAACATTTAAAACATTTAAAAACTATAAAAACATAATAGAAGAAGGGATATTACTAACAATGGAGCCACATATCACCCCTTTGGGCTGGGAAGAGAATGCCATAGTAATTCTTAACTACTTTGTAGCTAATCATAACTTAGCTATTATCATGCCTAACCACAAAGTGCTGCTTGATGCAAGTCAAACATTCTTACCTTTTGGCAGATTGATTCATGCACATAGAGAGATAACATCTCTTTGTTCACTTGATGGATAATGGGATTGGATTTAAAAATGCAGCAATAAAGTGATTTAAGAAATTGAGGATATTAAAGTCTGGAAACTGCAGTGAATTTAGAATTCCTTTTTTTACTGCTCTGTATAATTTCAGATACTCTATATAAAATGTATCACATAACTGGATCAAATGCTATATACCATAATAGGAAACCATTAATGGCACACCCTTTGGGTGTGAAGAACTGTAACTTATTTATGAAATGTCTATTTGCCATAAGTAAAACCTGCAAAAATATACACTCTAATATCAAGAAACCTCATAAGAATATTTATTGATCCCTGATCCTTACTCTTAGTTTGCGGCTCTGCTTTCGAACTAGTTTGCCATGACGAATAAAATGAACGGGACACTGATTCATTGCATTATCAGCTTTATGACGAAGCCAATCTTCATATCCCTGAATGAAACAGCAAAGAAAACATATAATCAAATGTGTGCTAAAAGAAGAAAATGGCAAACTACTGGTGCATGGTGACCAAAACAATTGCATGGTTGTATCCACTTGAAACTGACTTTCCTTTTTATCCTTTGGCCTATTATGTACCATAAATTAGAGAAATCAGGAAAGAAAGAACATTAATTAATCTGCATCTCATAGTGAGGGAAAAACACAGGCTCAGAACTTTAAGAGTAGAATCTCTGCTTCCAGAACTGAGTTCCCTTCCGTGCATAGAGGAGAGCAGAACTCTTTCAATGGGGTACAGAAACAGAGCTGAAATCCTGAAGATTTCAACTCCATTTGTGCTCCCCACTAAAGGATTTCCTTTCCATGCATGGAGGGGAGCTGAACTCTTTCAGCAGGTAGCTCTTTCAGTTAGCCCCCAGGGATGAGAGGGAGACAAAATCCAAGCAGAGGGTGGCAAGTCAGCACAGTAAGTTAAGAAACGCTGACCATCTGCTTAATTATCTATTTGATCGCTCAGTGACTGAGATTCCAGTTTCAATTTTAGTCAAAAGTCAAGGACTATCTCCTTATAAGAGGGGCAGGTCTTAAACGTCCTGGTCCAGTTCTATCTAGAGCTTTTCTGACATAATTCCTGCAAGTACATCTGTTGGGGAGTATTTCACTGACATATTTGAGTTTTCAGTATTTATTCACATTAAGAATTATAATTTAGGATAGAAATTAATGGTCTCATTGGAGTTCTCACAACAATCAGGAATCTTAGAGTTCAACACAAAACTCAGTTTGAATAATTATTTAATGACTAAAAATGGTCACAAGCTATTTCTGCAATCATCACTCGAAAATATAGTATTATTGCAGTACTACTGAAGTATTCAGCATAAGGTAGAAAGTATTATTCTAATATATCAGCATCTGCATGTTTATTTTCAGGCTTTTTTTTCCACTTAATTCTAATTGTTGTATAATTTAATCAATCAATGCATCCTTGACAGTGACAAATCAATGAATAAAGGATAAATAAAGAAATGCAGTTTTCATATACACTTGGGTATAGCAAATATAACTGCTGTAAAATCATGAATCAAAACAAAAATTGAAAATCAAAAAGTGAGATATGCTTTCCAGAACAAGGGAAACATTTTTTTTCTTTCAACTAGGGAATTCTAGAAGTCCACACATCTTAAAAGTTATTGATGTAGAAAAACACTGCTTTAGGCCAACTGAGGGAATATAAAGGCAGAAGGAATAAAACATGACAACAGTCATTGAAATGAATGAATCATTCAAAAAATCCTTTTTGAAAACCATGTAGACATGATCTGCCTCCAATTCTGAAATTGAAAAACTAAAATTAAAACTCTAAAATGCTTACCTGCTTTATAGCTGTTACAATGATGACAAAGAACAGTGGGAGCCCGCTTGTCACTGGACTGGTTGGTGTGTCAATAATTAACTGGGAATAAAGTGTCACATATTTTTTTTATAAAATATAGATTTCAACAAAAAACATATTTAAACAAAGTATAGAGTTTTCAAGCTATACTTTTATAAAAACAAACCTTGTTCTTGAAAAGCAGTGAGGTATGCAGCCTAAATATTAAGGAAATTGCATAACTTAAGAAATGCATCCATATTGATAATTTCAAATGACTGATGGTGCTGTTAGGTATAATGCGGAAATGGAGAGGAAAATCTGGTTTATCTCTTAGGCTGACTTAGTTACGTTCCTTGAAATATATATTTTAGGATGCATGTCTTCACAAACACATATTTAGTGATTCATGCTTAATATTTACAACAAAAGTGTACTTTGTTTACTGATTTTGTACAGCTCCTTCCCAAGGGCACACATCATCCTGAATTTGAAACATCCTGTTTTGAGCTCAAAATGCATATTTTGACTTTTCCAGAAGTTTCTTTTCCAAAGTTTCCAAACTCCAAATGCAGATATTTGCAAAACAGGGATTTTAGAATTACAACAGCACTGAAAAAAGTGACTTATGACCATTTTTCACAGTTACAACCATTGTAGCATCCCCATGGTCACTTGATTAAAATTCAGATGCTTGGCAACTGACTCTTATTTATGATGGTTGCAGTGTCCCATGGTCATGTGATCATATTTTGAAGCCTTCTGACAAGCAAAGTCAATGGGGAAGCCAGATTCACTTAACATCTGTATTACTAACTTAACAACTGCAATTATTCACTTAAAGTGTGGTAAGAAAGATCCTGTACATGGCTTATATATCTAACATAAAAAAGAGGTACATTTTACCTGTACAAGAAAAATGATAAGAAAGTAGAAGTTTGCTATTCTTCTGAACTGCTCAAATAAGTTCTTTGGTATGAAGTTCCAAAAGGTGTACTGAAAAAGATGGGAAGTTAATGAAGGCTAAATCTTTATTTACAAAGAAATTAGACATGATTTCTTTCTTTCTATGTCAATAGCACAATATATTGTTCACTGCTGGGAATAAACTACATACCTGCAAAAACATTCTATGATCATACAAAGATTATATATTATATATCTACGTACGTCACATATTAAATAAAGTGGATTGTATTACTAATTAGCCTAAAATACCATTCTTTGGCATTTTAGAGGAGATGAAGTGTACTTTGCTACACTTGGCTGTGACAATCATTTAACAAACCTCTAAGGCAGCGATTCTCAATCTTCGTGTGATGGCGACCCCGTCACACGAACGTGCCGCGCATGCGTGGCGCGTGGCACATGAGCGGCGGCGCCCCCATGCGCAGCGCACATGCGCGGCGCTGCCCCCCATGCGCGGCGCACATGCGCGGCGCCGCCCCCTGGGGGGGAAATGGCGGATTGCATTGTTTCGCGACCCCCGTAAAATGGTCGATCGACCCCAAATGGGGTCGCGACCCATAGGTTGAGAACCGCTGCTCTAAGGAATGTTGATAAATTGGGCAGTAGTGTGAAATACCTCTTGTGAAAGTTTGGTATTTTACTCAGAAAACATAGTGATTAATCACTTAATCACACATAAAGTGATTAAGGAGACCTCATACCAAATTAATTCCCTAAGGCAGTGTGTCAAGGTGACATGCCACTGTTCACCAACACCCAACAGCTTGAAAGCACACACTGTTTTCATGCAGTTTTTGGAGGCTATGGAAGTTGCACGACAATTGGGTGTGCTCTTGACCGACCTCAGAAGCCTCGGTTTTCAGAGGCTGCAGAGGCCACGGGACAGCATTCTCTGAAGTTGCTTCAAGAACAAAGGCCTCATGCAACCTCAAGAGCAGCCTCAGCTAGGTTACAGGGAGATGTCAACATAAAGAGAACACCACCTGAAGGTAAGCAGTGTGTGTCAGATCATGGGGAATGCTAGATTGGTGGGCAGTTGCACCATTAATAAGACTTGTGCTCAAGGCAGCCTTTTTGAGTGGCAGCAGCTAAAGTTGAGGTGAGAGCCTCAATTTCAGAGCCAGCTCAGCATTGCCATTGAGTTTTCGAGATGGCCTAAAAAGGATCAGAACAGAAGAGAATAGAAAAACAGTTGGAAGGGACTTTGGAGGTCTTCTAATCTAACCCACTGCTCAAGCAGGAAACCCTATATCATTCTGGACAAATGGTTGTCCAATCTCTTCTTTAAAACTTCCAGTGTTGGAGCATTCACAACTTCTGGAGGCAGGTTGTTCCACTGATTAATTGTTCTAACAGTCAGAAAATTTCTCCTTAGTTCTAGGTTGCTTCTCTCCTTGATTAGTTTCCATCCATTGCTTCTTGTCCTGCCTTCAGATACTTTGGAAAATAGCTTGATTCCCTCTTCTTTGTGGCAACCCCTTAGATATTGAAACACTGCTATCATGTCACTCCCTAGTCCTTCTTTTCATTTAAACTAGATAATCCAATCCAGAAACACTTCTTTATATGTTTTAGCCTCCAGTCCCCTAATCATCTTTGTTGCTCTTTTCTGCACTCTTTCTAGAGTCTCAACATCTTTTTTACTGCGACTAAAACTGGATGCAGTATTCCAAGTGTGATCTTATCAAGGCATTATAAAGTATTATTAATACTTCACTTGATCTTGATTCTATCCCTCTGTTAATGCAGCCTAGCACTGTGTTGGCTTTGTGGGCAGCTGCAGCACACTGCTGGCTCATATTTAAGTGATTGTCCATTAGGACTCCAAGATCCCTCTCACAGTTACTACTATTAAGCCAGGTACCACCTATACTATACCTGTGCATTTGGTTTTTCTTGCCTAAATGTAGAACCTTACTTTTTGTGCCATTGAATTTCATTTTGTTACATAGTATCCAATGTTCAAACCTGTCAAGATTCTTCTGTATCTTAAGCCTATCTTCTGGAGTGTTGGCTATTCCTGCCAGCTTGGTGTTGTCTGCAGATCTGATTCCCATCTATCCCCTCATCCAAAACATTATTTTTTTTTAGTTTTAATCTTTCTTTTAAACATTTAATAAAGTTATATGACATTACCCAATGTATTGACACTACCAGATGTGGGCTGTAATTTCATAATCACTGGATAACAAGAAAGACATTAAGAAAACTGTATGTTTCTGCTGGCATCCAGTAGTCCAATAGATTTCTGCAGCCCAGATTTGGTGAAGCCAATCATGTATCTATTGTGGGAAAAATCCATTGATAGTATACTGTAACTGTAAATCAGCACATAAAGTAATTGAATGTGGTATTTTATGCTTGCACAGACCAGCAGAAATTTTGACTATTGGCAAATTTTAATAGTAAACAGCAAATTTTTATTTCAGAGTCAGACTTCTGCAACGAAACAAGAGATTTTGTTGCAAAAAATGAAATTATTGATAAAAAGGGGAGTGTTTACATTGAAGCCAAAAGTATAAGGCAAATTAAATAACCATGATACTGTATGGGGCATTGAAAAGAATAAAGATATGAGGGAATACCTTTGATGAGACTATTCTGTTATCTGGATATCGCTGCAGAATGTATGCTTCAGCACCTAGCGGGGGTTCACGATGCCCAACATAAATTGTCCGATTGTCTACCCAGTTCTCTTCCCCAGCACACTGTGAAGAAAAATAATAATTAAGCCAGTAGTTCTACATCATTCTACATCAGAGGCTGGTGTTTTGTTTTGTTTTTAGAGAGAACATTTCCCTGATTTGAGGTTATCTTTTTTTTTCTGTTTGCGTTATTATAGTACTGTTGTATTCGTATTTTTGTATGAGGCACATTTTATACCATTTTTTTAATGTAAGCCTCCAAGAGTCCTTTTTATTGTGACAGTATAGAAATATATTAAATAAACAAATAATAAATAACTGACCTAATGAAACATGCATCAATTCACCCTTCATATATGATTAAAGTTCCATCTCCTAAATCTCTAATAAATAATATCCATAATATGAAATATAATATACACACACACACACACACACACACACACACAGTATTTATGGCTTAACTGTACACTATCCAGAGATGTGTGGTTTCTGCATTTGATATAGAAATAAATAAAACATAATTTCCTGAACAGTTATAGGTAAGCTGTCAGAATCCTATGCTTGAAACAATAATTACTTTTGTATTATTCATAAATATTAAATATTAGGAAAATAACTCCTATCTTAGAATATACAGTATGTATATTCTTATTATATATAGGCTGTAGTCCATTTAGATGTCCAACAAGGTTCAAGGATACACTACTAATACTTGACTTTGCTTCTCTTGCTGACAAACTAGAGTTAAGCCAGTGCTAATATTTCCTCACATTTTGAATATGTTTGTATATTAAATAGTTCCAGTCTTTGTTTCTAAAATTTTGCTTAAGGTACTTCCATGCAGAAGTTTCAGAGCAGATTTTCTAGGGCAATTCAACCAAAAAATAATTAAACCATTGATTTTATGATTTCAGAAATTTCTGTCTAGGGGATTCTTCAAATTAATCAACTTGGATTTTAACTTTCAGTCTAGCTATATAGTGGGTACCATAAAATTAGTAACATTTGAAACTATACTATAAAGAATCCTCTACAAATTTTCCTTGAATTGAATTTAAATGAATGACAAAGACAAAGCAAAGGAATTTGCAGATCACATTCATTATTTTTAGAATAAATGACAATTGGCTGAGTTCATTCATGTCAATCCAGCGGGCCCCAACCTTTTGGACACCAGGGACCGGTTCCATGAAGAGAGCTGAAGCTTATATTGTTCCAGATGCTTGTTTCTTTGTCTATCATTTGAGAAATATGCTCTCTAGTTATATAATGGTATGTGGGGATGACCTTGGAAGACAGGAGGAAGAGACACAGACCAAAGTATGGTTGGGCAATGGCAGCAAAGTTCACAGAAGAAATAGGGCTCTGCCAAACATCTCAGAAGGGAGCCTCCCTGGTTTCTTGGACTGTCAAGACCGGGAGGGGGGAGGAGAGAGATGTACTTTCAGACTCACAAAATTCTTCTACTGAAACCTTACAGTAAAGATAAAACTAATGCTTTCTGTGCTTTGTGCCTAGACTAGCTCACAAGGCTGACAATAATTTATGAGAATAAAACAGAGTATTTGCTTTGTTGTTGTTTTCCCCATTAATTGACCAAATTAATACACCAGCCTCAGAAAAAATAACATAATTCATCCTTGGAACAGAATACGAACGTGATTTTTATTAAAGTAGGAGTTTGAATCCTAATAAAATATAGCTCTGGGGCATCCATTCTGTATATTTAGCACAGTTCTCTAATTCTCATAATAGCTTTTGACATTCAAACCTTCAAGGGAATAGAAACCAAGAACAATTTATATTTCCTTTTTTTGATGTGTGCATCTCTGTATATAAAAGTTAAATTATAACCAACATGCTTCCATTATCTCCCATTTAGAAAACTAGCACTGTTATCTTATATTATAATTTATTCTCTTAATTTAAATATCATAAACCAGCGATTCTCAACCTGTGGGTCGGGACCCCATTTGCGGTCGAACGACCATTTCACGGGGTCACCAAACAACGCAGTCCGCCATTTTTCCCCCTTTTCCTTAGCTGTGTTACTCCCTTTTATTCTATTGGCTTTTGAAAGCCAATAGAATAGACTCTCTTGAATAGAGTCTAATTCTAATGGCTTTCAAAAGCCAATAGGAATTGTCCAGGCTGTCTCTGCCCTGCTGAGCCCGCCAAAAGTCCCATTCTGCAAACGGTGCTGCAAGTTGTCTGCAGCGAAGGCGAGCTGTCTGGAAGTTTCCACCTCTCCCTGCTGAGCAACTACTAAAAATATAAGTAAAAGAGGGCCAGGGGTGGGAGGTGGGAGGCCGGTGGGCGCAGGGAGGGTGCTGGCGTGCGTGGGGCCCATCGGATGCCTTACCTCCCTTGGGCTGGGCCAGCTGGTGGCCCAGCCGGTGGTCGGCCTGCGCCGTCTCTGCCGCTTGCCAGCTACACCTTGGCCGGTGCAGGGGGCGGCACCATGCATGAGCGGCACTCCTGGGCAGGGAAAGTCCTTGACTTACGACCGGTTGGGTAGTCCTCCACTTACGACTGGTTGGGTAGTCCTCCACTTACGACTGGTTGGGGTCGCGGCATTAAAAAGGTTGAGAACCACTGTCATAAACCAATATTTACATAGAATGCATTACTCCGCTTAACTGAAAATAGCTGCTATAACAGCTATTAAAGCTGTCATAATGGGATCATAAGGGCACAATTACAATTCTCAAAGATTTTATACACTGCATCAAGGCAGACATGTCAAACTAGCGATGTCTCGTGACGTTGCGAGATGTATCAGAATATTTTGCCATTGCCGGCAATGGGGTGGGCACAGCTTCCGGATGACGCATCCAGCCTGTGGGCCAGCAGTTTGACACCCCTACATCAAGGAGAAACCTGTTACTAAAAGAACAGTGTTTGTTGGGACTATGGCAGGGTCAGATCAGATTACACTAAAATTTATTTGCATTAATATCATTGATATGTGTGCGTATGTTTGTAAGTGTGTGTGTACTCTTCTGTTCAATAGTATTTGATTCTCAGAGACTGCCTGGACAAGTCCCTGGTTTCTTGGTAATATTTTTCAGAAGTGGTTTGCCATTGCCTGCTTCCTAGTGCTGAGAAAAAGAAACTGGCCCAAGGTCATCCAGCTGGCTTTGTGCCTAAGGTGGGACTCAAGTCTCCTGATTTCTAGCTTGATGTTTAGCCACTACATAAAACTGTCTCTCATGTATATATATATTTGCTCCCCAAAATATTTAAGTAATATGTACCAAATACATAAAAAATAGAATATATTGATCAAACTTTTAAAATATAGCAAAGTAAACCAAAGGCACACAGTGTGGCTCATCTTAATAGGAGCTGTTAGGAATTCTGTGACTTTGGCCACCCAATTCTCTTTTAATTGGATATTGAAAAGGGAAAAATGGCTTCAAATTACATCTTTCACAACCTAGACCTGATCTGGATTGAACACCCAGAAGGGATATTTTGGATTTGTGTGTGCCATAATGCATGTAACATTGTTTAATCCATGGTCTTTTGCAACAGAAAGACTATTCTAACATCTCCCTGTAGAGTAACAAAATATTTAGAATTAAACTGAATTTTACTTCTAGTCTTGAGCTAAGAGTCAGAATAAGATAAGTCCATTGCAAACTGAAGGTTTGTATCCTGCAGACTCCAAACCAGGATCTTTGCAACCATTCTTCTTTCAGCTAAGGAATCAAGTAGCAAAAAGCCAGGCAAACAATACAGGGAGAGGTCACACAAAGATGGGGGGGGGAGAGAATTACACTCTTAATCCCAGCAAGGGAAGGGAAGAAATGTTGTTCAGGAAAGACTGGATTAAAGAAATAATAACAAATTCTGCCATATGACAAACCACTAAGATTCCCAACCATTCTGATTCCTCAGGTTGCTTTCTCCTACTGCAGTTTGCAATCTACATGCTGGGAGGTGAGAGGCATGGAAGGGAGTCATAGGAGGATAAAGGATGGGAGACCTGCATGGAAGTATGCAGTAGGGTCATGGAAGGAAGATAGTTGAATGGTGCATTTAAAGTGTTACTGCACATCATTGCAACTTTGATGTTGATGATGATGGGATACAGCAAGAGCAAGGATGCAGTATCCCCCAAAATGGTAGATCTCAAAGTCTTGATCTATCTCCTTGTGGTCAGACAAGGTAAAACTTTCCATTATCTTATGATTATCTGTTTGCCTTCCTTTGTGGGCTTTGTCTCCAAATATACCACCTCAGTTTTAGAACATGGGAAAGAAAAACCCAGACTCTATGAATCTTCAATAATATCATACAAAATATACTAAGATTCATACTGGATACAATTATTTTGGAACTTTATAATACAATTGATTATCATTTCAACTGAGTAGGATGATAAAAAGCATAGATGATCAAAAACCTGTGCTGGTAGCTTTATGTTTCAGTTGATAATAAAAATTTATACATTTAAAAATAAAGAAAGTGTCTCAAAACAGTTATATTCCATATGATATGATATATGATATGTGATATGTAATATGTGATGTGAAATGATATATGATATGATAATAATTTCTTTCCCATCCTGGTTCACTCCATATATGTTGAGACTACAATTTCTGAAATTCTCAGCTAAGACAGCTTGAACTTGATTTTGGTATGACCAAAAGTTCTGGGAGTGCATCTATCTAGAAGGGATTAGCATAGAGAAAGTGTTTTGGAGAAAGCCCTCTAAAATTATTCTCAACTTCTACTTTGTTCAACAAAAAATAATTATTTTAATTTAATTTTTCCTGTTTTAACTGCTCCAGTTGGACTATAATATTTATATAATTTTAATTGTACATTGCTCAGTGTCATTCTGTGAATGAGATGGGCAGTCTCAAATTTGATATATAAATAAACAAAATAAAATAAATAAAAGTAATACTTAAAGCAGCAGCACACAACATTAAAGCCACTATTCTACAATCCCCTCCCCCAAATTCTAACAATACTACAAAAGATATTGTTGTAACTCTTGATAACATGTATCAATATATAAACTTTAAAAGGATAACAAAAGACAG